GCCCTGTTGGTACAATGTGTTTTCTGTCAAGAGCAGCTAAAGTTCGACACCTTTTGGCGCAAAGACCATAGTAAGCAAATTCAAAGTGTTCCATTGTTACACTAGTCACAACTATGCATATCTAATCATGCCTTCAAATCCATGAGTGAAACCGTGTGTTTTTGTTTAATTTGGTTGAAGGTCTGCCATTTGAAATCCTAATGTCAAATCAGTCGGTATTTAGGTTCCTATGCAGCTCCATTCCTACAACCACATTTGGGAACCTGATGGTTGGAGCATGCAATCCACTAGAAGTGTATGAGTATAGTCATGTATATGCATTGAACACCTGTAGATCACACCAAGCCCCAAAAATGCCACGCACCAGACAAAAAAAACTATGCATATATTCATCCAACTCATTTGTGAAAATAAGAATATGAAAAAAATCACCTTCTAGATTGTAGTTATTCCTGATGAACTCTCACAACTTTGAAAATGAAAGGGAGGTGTATGTATGTACTTGCCAGCTACGAGACAGATTTTTGTTTAACCCTTTTCTTGGAACGGATACGAATTCAACTGCCAAGGCCTGGAATGCCAAGTCTTGGAATTGAAGTTGATGTCTTAATTCAATTGCCAAGGCCTGGAACGCCAAGTCTTGAAATTGAAGTTGATGTCTTAATTCAATTGCCAAGGCCTGGAATGCCAAGTCTTGGAATTGAAGCCCATTATGTCAGGGGTTATGATGCCCTTGTTCAGGGCTAGTCCCTTGTTCAGGGACATTATCCCCAGCACTCGGAACGCCGAGTCCTGTCCCATCCCCAGCTGAAGGCTGCTGCAACGGCATCACCTGTCCAGGAAACCTGCAGGTACAAATTAATGGTATCACATATATGTTCATGACTTGTGTGCATGGTGGTATCACAAGTGGATGACAACTCGGGGACACTGGGTGGTATTTTATGATTTTTTGACTCTTGGTGCCATTATATTGGTATCATATGTGCATGACCCCTGACTAAATAAATATATATATATTTATGTTCATGATGCTTGATGGTCATTGGCAGTCTCTGTGTGTGTGTATGTTTGTGTTTGGTTCAGTAATCATGAAACTTGTTGTTTGAATTACAACATGTTTTTTGTTCTGACCTGCCCCCCCTCCAGGTTAATTTAAGCATGAAAACTGTGTGTATGTGTGTGTGTTTGGTTCAGCAATCATGATACTTGTTGTTTGAATTACAGCATGTTTTTTGTTCTGAACTGCCCCCACCCCTCCAGGTTTCAATTTAAGCATGACTACTGTGTGTATGTGTTTTGTTTGGTTCAGCAATCATGATACTTGTTGTTTGAATTGCAGCATGTTTTTTTGTTCTGAACTGCCCCCACCCCTCCAGGTTTCAATTTAAGCATGACTACTGTGTGTATGTGTTTTGTTTGGTTCTGTAATCATGATACTTGTTGTTGGAATTACAGCATGTCTTTTTGGTTCTGACCTGCCCCCCCCCCAGGTTTCAATTTAGCATGAAAACTTATCCCTAGAAAATGAAAAGAAACATGTTGGAAAACCATCCCAAAATGGAAAAGCAAAAACATACTGCATTTTTTCAGCCAAAATGAAACTATCATTTTCAAAAACCAAACTATCACAATCAAAGAACAGAGGTTAAAACCAGTTGACATGGATTGTAATTTCCGCCCCAAAAACGGAGCCCGTAGCGGCTCCCGTTTTGGAGCCCCTTTTTTTGTGTATGATCCCGGTCGCTGGATGCGATCACGGGAATTGTGAAGGTTCTATCAGCTGAAAGTGGAACTGGGTATACCAAATCCCGAGCAGGAGAACACAACACGAACAACAATGTAGAATAACTGGATAACTACTGAGGTTCAGTCAACTCACCCAGTGAGGAGAACACAAAGTACAGGAAAATGCCCCAAATTGGTGGTGGAGCAAATTGCACTGAATCAATTGGTGTGGTGGCCCTGTCTTCCTGATCCCTTGACTCCTGTCCCCACGCGCTCTAAGGGTTTGCTCGCTCAAGGCGCACAAGGTCGAGGATTCCGTAAAAATGATCGGTGATCTCGCCGTGCAAGGAGATGATCCTCTGATGTTCTTCCAAGACACGGCCCCGAGCGATCTCCGAATTCGAGCAAACGTGTTCCACTAGTGCCCGTTGATCGTCCACGAAAAACACGGACTGAAGATCGTCCCTTCGGATCTGCCAATCAAGATATGCTCTCTTGCCGTCCCAACGTCCAAACTTTGATGGAGTGATAATGCTGGAGGTCTTGACAGATACGGCGTATGTTGGCAATCTTCCTTGGATCCTTGCAGAAGCTAAGACAATAGACCCGCAACTGCGGAAGATCTTGATGCACGCTATGCAACAAGACCCGCGTCTCCCTCAAGTCCTTGTCAATAACACCGTGGAAATCCAGGAACAGGCCAAGCCGAACGTCAGAAACGTCAATGTTCTCCTCCAACACTGACTGCTCAGGCAATTCGTCCGAAACGTCAATGTTCTCCTCCAACACTGACTGCTCAGGCGATTCGTCCTCAATGAGCACAGAAGCCGCAGCTGAAGGCCTTGACGGTTGCGAGGTCTCACTCGGAGGATCCCTCACGTCGCGAAGAGGCTGCCTCACTGGTGATCTTGAGCGTTCGGGAGTTTCAGGCCACGGTGTCCTTGACCAAGACGGAAACTCCTCTTCAGATGATGACTTGATCTGATCGGTCTCTGCTGGACCGTTAATGATCTCAGTCACGAGTTCGTTGCTCAGACCAGCGGCTAGTCCCAAGGCACGAGAACTGGATATGCGATATATATCCTTCTTAAGGCCCTGTGCAAACACAAAGAGCTGTTGAAGCCTGTGAAAAATATGAGCCTCCCGGTGGGACAAGTCTTGCCTGACTTTGAGGCTATCACTTGCTGCAGCGAACGGGTACAGAAGCTCCCGCCGATAGTCACGGAGCCCGTGGCGACCTCCCCGTCGCATGCAGCTCCGGCACAAGCTGACTACTCAAATGTGCACCGGAGTTGGTCACCCGAAGAAGACTGGATCAATTGGAATGACAAGGTTTGGGCCAAATACGAGAATCACAAATGGGATCCGATTCTTCTATTCGTGGGTCGCTGGGTGCGAACTCCACTCAAACTCAATATGGAGAATGTTGGTTGTTGGTCAAGCAAGTAGGTTGCTAGCCAAGAGCACTACAAGTATGACAGTCTAATCCCAAAGGCTATGAGCGAGGTGTCCCAAGCTGCTAACACCCTTTGGCTATTGCTTCAATGACAACGGTCGCCTGACGCGAGCTCGCTGTTTCAACACCAAGGGTCTGTGGCCAAGGTGAAGCGGGACTTCGAGTGGGATCCAACCTGTGCAATCCGATAAAGCGGTTGGAAAATCACTCAAAGGTGTATATAACAATGTAGCAGGTCGCCAGTCGCGATCGCTGCCCCTTTGTTATAGATAACAGAAAAGAGAAATGGTGGTTCCAACACAAGAATGGGTGGGTCAAGCCCAAGTCAAATGATGGTAACCAGAAATATGTAAGGACCACGGCCGTACCCGCTCGGGCGAGCAGGTACGGCTGATAACCAGTTATTTAAGCGTAAAACTCCTAGGCGGCACACAAGCAAGCAACTGCTAGGGCGCCGCACTGTTTTACTTGAGCCAAAAGTAACATATTGAACTATGTGAAACCACGGGTCAAGCAGTGGGTAAAAGCATGACCTTTAAGTTTCCTAGTCCTGCTACGCCTGAGAAATGTTATGTACCATAAGTGTATGTCCCATTCAACTTTAATTACATATATTTGTATAGTGTTGCTGCTGTAACATGCATTCTGGATTAACACTGGTCATTCAATGATATTGACTTGAATCAACTTTTCCTTTAGGTGTTGGTCAGATTCTTCTTGCCCCTCTGCTCACACCCACAGAGATGCCGCCCGGTGCATTCAAATGGCCCATACTACCATTGGCATTGATTGATCCAATCCCCCAATTGATTAAAAAAGGACGATAATATAATGTGTATATATATATGTACATATTAAATTAAACAAATCCTTGGCTGATGTTGGTTCGATTTGCCCCCACATTCGGATTGTGATTTGCGCTCCATGGCACCTATCAGCATCAGCCCTTAAATATGGTGAATATCTTATGGCCAAATGATCGGATAGGGATGTTCATAGATGTTCAAAACAATTAACATATATGATAATAATAATCAATTAATGAACATCTATGTTAATTGTTTTGAACAATTAATATATAATAATCACCAATAAAATTGCTATGATCAATGATAACACTAACCTCCGCTTTGATAATCTGATAAACAACCAACCTACAAAACATAAAACAGTAGGTGTCCCGGCGATGTGCAATGGCCACCAATGTGGAGTCAGGAAATGCGTGGCCTCAGCCATTGCTACATGAGATGCCTCAGCCGTTTACACAGGACTACTGCAATCTAATCAATCTACTTTTTTTTTCTAATTGTGATGATTTCTATGATTGTCATTGTGACTATATATATATAGAGATTTGTGACCAGGGATTTATACTAAATATATCTAATGATTGTCATTATAATATTATTGTTGTATATTCATCTGGGATCTGTGAACAGGGATTGGACCATTGGATTCTGTGATTTCATCAAAGACTGCGTGGAAATCATTGGAAATCATTGGAAATCATTGGAAATCCAAGGTACTATAATGATTATAATTATAATGATTTTTTTTTTATGTATTTTGATCCGCAATGTGTTCACCACCCATACTTAGGTCGCAAGGCGGCAAGAGTGATAGCTATAACATGTTGTAACCCCAAGGACATAAACCACCTTGAGAGTTGAGAGGGTTCCACTGCGGTCCTTTTTGTTAAACAAAATCCACCATTGCAAAACAAATCGACCGAAGCCGTGTTGGTTCTTATCCTTTCTGGCTCAAGGGATGCAGAACGAACACCAACCGCACCAACCCCGAAGCGCAGTCAAGCTTCTGATGGTCTCTTGTACATTCTCCTGGCAGTCTTGAGGACTTCAATGATGTGGGCCGTGAATGCCAAGAGGATACACAGAAGATCCCGGTATTGAAGGAGGAACAGCTGCCAGGATCATTTCGGTACCAGGATTTAGTGAACTATCTTAGCTGTGAAGCAACCTGCTAAGAGTTACTACTCTCAGCATGTGTCACTGGCTGCAAAGAATGTCAAACATTAAGACTTTCGCATCCACATTGTTTGGGCCAAGCTCATAAATAAATAAATAAATATATATATATACATATCACAAACAATATGTATATATATATATACATATGTGTGTGTGTGTGAATGATTATGTTATCTACAAATGTGATCAAACGGGTCCATCAAGTCACAATGATTTTCTTTCAGCAGGGACCCCAGAGTTTGTCTCTCTCAATTGCCATCTCATTGCGTCTGTCACGGTGCCATGTTCCGTTCCTGAAAAAATGCACACAGTTCGGGTGGCGGAATCGTGTTTGATCCATTTTGGCCGCGCTGTGAATATTGACTGCTGAAATGATGATGTGTAAACATATCCCAGAAGATTTGTGGGTCGACTGGGGCTCATCGTCCTAAGTAGTACTAAGTAGGGATGACAAAAATCGAAAACCACCGGCCAATCAACGGCTATGTCTTATATTTCTTGTGGATTATTGCCACAAAAGTATAGAAAAGTGAAACCCTACTCAGTTTCCTGTCTTTTTGGGGGTTACTACAACCATTCTGTTTTTGGTGTCTCACAAAAGAAGCAGTTTGAGAAATTTCAGTCCTGCGTGCGCGGATCGATGGCAGAGGTAGCCTGACAGGTTTTCTAGGGAACAAAAATAGAGGAAACCACAGACTTTACTCTTACAGTAAACCTATGTAACTATAATTCTGTGGTTAATTGATGTTAAATATGTTCCTAGACTTTACCTGCAACCAATTCACGAGAGGACAACTAGTGAAGTCATTCTAGTATTTTTAGGATGTTCTAATATGTTCTACTAGTGCAGTCATTCAAGTATTTCTAATAGGCCCCCAAAAAGCTGAGAGTAGCAGATCTCTGTAAGGGAAATTGTCCGGGAAATGAGGTATTCTAGCCTCCCAGGCGAAAATCTTGGGTTTCTTGAACATGTTCCTTTGCACCAACCAAATGACTTATCCAGTACGTATGTTCACTATTCAGTTTACATGAGTACATGATGGGACCTATGTCAGATCACTCGTCCCTGGATGGGCTAGTAAGGCTAGTCACTGGCTCCCATTTGCAAGGAAGTGGATATCCATCTTCACTTGCCAGCTAAGCGCGACGCCGCGACGCCCAAGAATCCCACGTGATGATAAGTCCGCCCCACATGAATGCAAATAACTGGCAAAACACTCAAAGTACCGATGCAAAAAGGTCAAAAGCATGAAGCAGGATAAGTTCAAATTTCATAGATCAAAGTGAGAACATCTAGGAATGAACCATACATATATACATATATACGTATATACATATATACATATATACATATATACATATATACACATATACACATATACACATATACACATATACATATATACATATATACATATATACATATATACATATATACATATATACATATATACATATATACATATATATGTACATATATACGGTGTATATATGTACATATATACATATATACATATAGACATATATACATATATACATATATACATATATACATATATACATATATACATATATACATATATACATATATACATATATACATATATACATATATACATATATACATATATACATATATACATATACACATATATACATATACACATATATACATATATACATATATACATATATACATATATACATATATACATATATACATATATACATATATATACATATATACATATATACATATACACATATATACATATATACATATATACATATATACATATATACATATATACATATATATTTGTGTATATATATAATTTTTATTAGTCGATTATCATGCCATCTCCACCTCCAACATCTCCAGACCTCGTCCAGCAAAAGTAACGCGGGCTGTCGAAGAACCTGGTCGCCCGTTGGATGACGTGGGACCCGCGGCCAAACTTTTAGGGGATGACCGGGTTTCCAATGCTGAACTCAATCCCGGAAAAAAATACGGAAAGTTCCATAAAAAGCCAACAAAATGACCCGAAGTTCCACTTTTTGTTGCTTAAATGAGTTAAATCCCTATTAATCACCATACACTTCCATGAAACCCGATTGAAATCCCAAAAGATCTCATTAAAATCACATTAAAATCCAAAAACATCCCCTCAGATCCCATGAACATCTGATTAAAAAAAACAACTGAATTCCATGAAAGATCATGAAAGTTGACAAACTCTTTGCCGCACGGCAGCCACGGCACCATGCGGGCCAGGCAAAAGAGCTGACGTTGCCCGAAGCTCAGATTGGAGCCTTCGTCGGTCACCTGGCCACGACCCAGACAGCGTGGGAAAAAACTCTGAAACCTGAGCCAATATTAAGCAATATAATCAAATCTATAGTCTAATCTGATCTGATCTAAGCTAACCTAAGCTGACGTAACCTAACCTAACCTAACCTAACTTAACCCAACCTAACCCAACCTAACCCAACCTAACCCAACCTAACCTAGTCTAATCCAATCTAGTCCAACCTAATCCAATCAAGACCAGTCTAATCCAATCTAATCGAATCCAATCTAATCGAATCTAATCTAATCAATCTATCTATCTATCTACCTATCTACCTATCTATCTATCAAATCTATCTAACCTATCTAATCTATCTATCTACCTACCTACCTATCTATCTACCTACCTACCTAATCAATCTATCAATCTATCAATCTATCAATCTATCAATCTAACCTATCAATCTATCAATCTATCTATCAATCTATCAATCTATCAATCAATCTATTTATCTATCTGTCTATCTATCTATCTATATAGCTATCTGCCTATCTATCTATCTACCTATCTATCTATCTACCTATCTACCTATTTACCTATCTACCTATCTACCTATCTACCTATCTACCTATCTACCTATCTACCTATCCATCTATCCATCTATCTATCTATCCACCTGCCTACCTATCTATCTATCTATCTATCGATCCATCGATCTATCGATCTATCGATCTATCGATCTATCGATCTACCGAGCTATCGATCTATCGATCTATCTATCTGTCTTTCTGTCTTTCTTTCTTATTCTATTTATATATCTATCTACCTTATCCTATCTATCTATCTATCTTTCTTTCTTTCTTATCCTATCTATCTTATCCTATCTTATCCTATCTTATCCTATCTTATCCTATCTATTCCTATCTATTCCTATCTATTCCTATCTATCTATCTATCTATCTATCTCTCTGTTCTATATCTGCTAAACATATATTTGTTGAACTGCATCTCAATCTGATCTTACCTTAGCTTGTCCGATCTCCAGATCTAAGTATGTATGAAACTATGGACTAAGATGTTCAAACACACACATGTGTATGCAACAGTTTTTCGGTAACGTTCAGATCATTCCCAATCCACCGAGCCACGTGGTACAAAAAAAAACACACCTGGTAGTCAAGCTCTCCAGGAAATGAACGTACCAAAGAATCCAAATGCGCGCAACCTGGCAGTGGGTTCCAATTCCAGCGGATTTCCATCATTCTCCCATGAAAAAAATGGGGAATATCACCATTTTTTGGAACAAAGCCATAGGACTTGACATGACTTAACTGAGATATTGAGATGTACTAAACTTATTACTCCCTTCCCCCTAATGCGAAATATATACCACTATCAATGAAATATGCACCAAATAATCACCTTGGAAACCCTGGTATAATTCGTATCATGCCTTTGTTTTTTCTTGTTCCCTTGGCCAAAATGCCACTGGGGAGGGCACGCAATGCATCCCAGATGCGTTCATCCTTAGGTACACACGAGTGCATTGACAAATCCGCCCCGCAACACCAATGAAAGTAGAACAAAAGATCAAAGATGTGGATACAACATGCCCAACAGCCCAACATGTTGTAGGATGATATAATTCTGCATCAAACACATATTATTGGGATTTATATATTGGGTTCAATATAGTTCTAGGTCCTAGGTTCACTTTGTTACTAGTTTCAGTCCCATTCATTGATATTACACTGTCAATTTCAAAAATGAAGCAGCATACCATGCCCCCAGCGTAGACCCTGGCAAATAAGGTAACGCAAGAGTACATTCATCCAACAACTATCCAAAAAAATGCAATTTCCAGGGTCTAATGTTACCCAGTACTTTTGGGCATATCTATTTTGGTGGGACATATGAGCCACGTTCTTTTTTTTGGGGGGTACAGCGGTGTAGCCCCACCTTTATTGAGGACACCGGGCTGGTCTCCCCTGAGGCTCCAGGCGGTGTAGGCACCGAGGGGGTCCAAGTTGTGACCTTAGATCATCCCATTGATAGCACTGTAGATACTTAGTGTGTTACTAAACCCATCATGTCATATGGTGTATGTATAATAGATAACTTATGATGTTATCTAACCAATTGTATACACATATATCATATATATATATATGTATATATATATGTGTGTATATAATTGTATATATATAGTTCTGGATATGATTCTATCAGATGGTTGGGAAACTCTTATATAGCTCCAACTGGCTCCGCATTTTCATGACGGGAGTATGGATAGCCCTACCTTCTGTTCACCACTGGGTAGCAATATTTGTGACACAATACCCATGAAATTAATGAGTGATTGTTGGTTGTTAGTTATCTTGATGCATCCTCTCAAAAAATGGAATCAACATGTTCAAGAATCATCTTATTCCCATTTGGCAAATGGTAGCTATGGATAAATAAGGATAAATATGGTTGGAAGGTAGCTATTGTTACCGCAGTGTTTCAAACTCTCCAGTTGAAAATAATTAATTCAGATAATTGGAATAATGGCACCATCATGCGCTGAATTGGGGTCCTGGTCAGATACAGTAGGTGCCTCCTTGATTCACGCATGTGAGCGAAACGGTTGAAACATGTTGAAACTGATAAACCCAACAAGCAAATGTTCACATTATCCCAGCAAATTCCCAGGTTTTGGGGGTTAAATCCAAACTATCATGGTGCATCCAAACCCTTTCCTCGGATTCATAAGTCCCTGACGAAGGCTTCCAGTGAATAGCAAGGGGTCCTGGCAGGAACGTAACCTGACCAGCATCATCTGCATATATGCACAATATGAAAAACATGTTTTCTTCTTTTCACTGCTCATCTATGCACATCTATATTGCACCTTGCATTTTTTTCCAGACTATATATAGGGGTGACATTACGACATTACCGGCAATCACCCTGTGAGAAGCACACAAATCATACAGGGAGGCACTGCCATGCCTGAAAACCATGGAATTCAAAAATTCCACCTGATTTATTTTCCCTCCAAATATGTGAGGCGTCCCAAAATACAAAAGTCACTCACAAAACTTACAAAATCATATGAATTGTCTCAACGTGACATGGACTGAAACTCTGAAACCTGACATGGCTTTACCCATCTTTGTGCCACACTAACTTGTCGATGTTAATGGTTTTACCCATTTCACAGACTCTGTGACATGGCCCTATCTTAATTATACTCCAAAATCGATAAACTTACAGTAACTAACGGCCCAAAATTAATGGTGATGTTTCGGTTCCCAACGTGCGCTCCTGTGGAACCAAACCCAGAGCGCTTCGCAAGGTCGAAAGGCCTGCGGACTCATGGTTTCCCCATGGGGGTTTCCTAAAATATGGCCCCATAGCTGGATGGTTAATAGAAAATCCTATGAAATATGGACGATTTGGAGGCACCCCTAAAAAATAGGAAGCCTCCATATATTTCTTATGCAACCAAAAACGTTCCGATGACTTGTGTCCTATGTTTTTTCTTGGAAATGATTGGCAGGATGATCGTCAAACGTGAAGCCAATCTTGAACCAACTCACTGCTGAGTCATCCTCATCTCATCTCGTCAAATTTCACTACTGCACACATCTACACACCAAACCATGATCTCAGTCTCTCAGAACGGCCTAGAGTGCTGGTGTCGACATTGTTGATGAGTACCTGAAATCACTGCCAGCGCAATAGTGGCAGGGACTCATGCAAACATTTCAGCGCCCTGAAGAGCACTGACTGATATTCATACCAGTAGTACCGCACAAGGCGGTGGCGGAAGTTTCAAAAATAGGAAACCTATAAGAGAGATTGGTTGTTGTGAAACACGGATGGCAGAGCGAATCCACTGATGGACCGAAAGGTGCTTGTGGTCTCCTCTCTTTCACTCTCTTTCTCTGACTATCTGCCTACCTACCTGTCTATCTATCTATCGATCTATCTATATATCTATCTATCTACCTATCAATCTGTCCAGCCATCTATCTATCTATCTGTCTATCTATCGACCTATCCATCTATCAATCTATCTCTCTCTCTCTCTCTTTCATCTGTCTATCTGTCTAGCTGTCTACCTGTCTATCTATCTATCTATCTACCTATCAATCTGTCCAGCCATCTATCTATCTATCTATCCATCCGTCCATCCACCCATCCATCCATCCATCCATCCATCTATCTCTCTCTCTATCTCTCTCTCTCCCTTTCATCTGTCTATCTGTCTAGCTGTCTACTTGTCTATCTGTCTATCTATCTATCTTTCTATCTTTCTATCTATCTAGCCATCCATCTTTCTTATCTGTTTATCTAGCTAGCAAGCTATCTATCTACCTATCTATCTATCTCATCTGCCTTTGACCTATGCAATCTTTCTATCTACCTACCTACCTATCTATCTATCTGTCTGTCTGTCTGTTTATCTACCTGTCTATCTGCAAGCTTGAAAACGAAGCTATTCTGCGAGACGTCCTCAGGTTTTGAACTTGACAACATCAAAAACGCAGCAATTCTGCGAGGCTTCCTCAATGTTTGAAGTTGACAACGTCAAAAAAAAAGCAATTCTGCGAGACATTCTCAATTTTTGAACTTGACAACATCCAAAACGAAGCAATTCTGCGAGACTTCTTCAGTTTTTGAACATGACAACATCAAAAACAAAGCAATTCTGCGAGACGTCCTTCAAAAATAGAAAATTAAGTGCAGCGCTGACAGCCTCGTACCAGCTCGTACCAATGTGTTTTGCGATTTTTCCACTCCACCTGTCTAAAGTATTGCGCTTGCCACGAAAAATTGATGCCAGGTCATACGAAGTGCTGCACCTGTCACGCAAAATCATCTTAGCAAACCTACAGATCTGATGCTCCAAAATGCAACCCCTCTCAGGAAATCAGCGCCCTGACCTCCTAACATCTCTCATGAACATGTCTTTCGTACTGCGCCTGCCACGGCAAATGCATCTTCGCAGATCCTCTTCAAATGTCCCACGCCTGCCATGGTTTTTGGAAATGCGACAAAACCCTCACGTCTTTTGACAAGGTGCACAATCCCTTGCGCCTGCCACGCGAAACGACATCTGAACCTCCACAATTGGGCCGAACTCCTGGTGTTTTGTACATTTTGACTTTGAAATGTGCTTCGCGCCACAACGGCGTGCGCTTTTTCGACATGTCAACTTCCAAAAGTGGTCCGGCGCTGGTGTGTTTTCTACATTTTGACTTCGAAATGTGCTTCGCGCCACAATGGCGTGCACTTTTTCTACATCTCAACTTCCAAAAGTGGTCCGAACCTGGTGTGTTTTGTACATTTTGACTTGGAAATCTGCTTCGCGCCACAACGGCGTGCACTTTTTCATCTCTCATCTGGCCAGATGGCCGCACCCGCCGCTTTAGCGAACCTTACTTTTCGACCCTCCGGAGTCCGGAGCCACAAATCATTGGAAAAACGCAGTGTTTCGCGACTTTCCTACCTTTTCGCGCATCTGCATCTTCTTTCTTCTGACTCTTTCTCTTCTCTGATCTGCTCTCTTCTACTCTTCTCTTCTCTCTGCCTCTGCCTCTGCCCAGCTCTGCTTTTCATCTGTCCATATTGTCGGAAGTTTGACTTCTAAACTTCCTTCGAATACTCTGTCTACACCCAAATATGGAAAGGCTGATCAAGCAAAATTGATTGGGCTGCTTTGGGAGATCATGGATTTTCGAGCCAAAGATGTTTTCTGGGAATGTTATTCCCTGGAATGAGTGGCTGAGTGGCTCACAGATTTCCTCTTTGGATCCCTGAACATTCCGTTCCCTATGCAATAATTGCTGTTCATCCAATAGCAATCATGGTTGCTAAATAATCACTGGTTGGTGGTTTCAATCCCTCTGAAAAATATGAGTGAGTAACAGTTGGGATGATGAAATTCCCAATATGATGGGAAATTCATAAAATTCCATGGTTCCAGTCACCACCAACCAGCAACTCTGTACTTGTTGTCATAGCAACCCCAAAAAATCGAAGCAAATCCTACAGTGAAATGGTGCTAGAGTTCACCCGTCAACGGTTTTTTCTGGGCTTCTCTGGGGTTACCCCAATGGTAGGTAAGATTATGTAAGTATATAATGTGGACCCCCAGTATTGGCATAATTAAATAGGTGGTCAAACAAATTGCCAAATGGTAGGTTTATTATTGGGTTAAACACACTATATATATATTATATTCTATATATATGCACTTGTGATCACTTGTGCACATACAGAGTCATCCCGTCAGTTCCCCATGCTGTCAAACAAAGCATGCAACTCAACGCAACTCGCTCCCTCGCACCCGTCCAGCACGTGGCTCGAGGATGCGCAAAAGCACCTGGCTGTTGCTGTGGCTGGACGGGAGGTCCATGGGTGTCTCTCCCTTCAGCACCAATGGTCCAATGGATATGGAAAGTCCACCATTAAAAAAAATCATTTTCCTGAGAAAATGATCTGGTTTTCCTTATTGTTGATTTATTGGAGAGTAGTTGTGGATGGGGATTAGTTGGCATCATATAATTACCATGAAAATTACCTATAAAAATGGCAATGTTAGTTGGAAGAAAATTGTGAAACCATGAGATTCCATGGTGCTATGTGCAAACAAATACGATTCAACAGTTTAGGGAGTCAATTTTCTAGATATCTGGAAATCCTGAAACTTAACGGTCAGTCACTGGATTATACCCATCAATTGCTATGTTCTATCAAAACTCTACTAGTTATACAGTAGATGACAATGCTTTTTTTTGGGGATAATATGGGTGTACGTGAGGGGGTACATGTGTTTGATTTCCTGGAAAGTATGTGTAATACGGTTTCCGTATACCATTAGTACATCCCTTGCAATATCCCAGTTCTGATGGCACCCACCTTCTCGAACCCCTAGGATCTGATAGCCAGGCTTTTCAAAACAAAATCTCTGAAATGATTTGAATGTCAGCAAATCCAGACCATACATCACGTGGGGCCCAGTCTGGAACGCGAAAGTTCCGAAGTGGAAAAGCAAAGGGTTCCGATCGATTCGGCCTCCGCTGAAAATCACCTATATACAGTGGTCAGTAGTCAGCCTGTTCTGTCACTTGGGTGCCCCCGCCAACAAAAGGCTTGACCTGATTCAGCAAACTGCCCCACAAAGGAACCCAGCCGGGCGTTGAATGCCGGGACTTCAAGGGATCTTTCAAACATGCCACTTAAGTCAGCTGTGTCAAATTGGTGGCAGTCAAATCCTGCCAACACATGAGGGTTTCGCAAGGTGCTTTCGAAGGAAAAAAACTTGGGTTGAAAACTACTAGTGTGTTCAAACAGTAGCTGCAAATTCAAAGGAACCATCACCATTGCCCTCTGGTACATTTCTCCTTTGATGCGGGGATCAATTTTAGTCCCTAGCCCTAAGAAAAAAGAACAACTGTGGGCAAATTGTACGATTTTTCTGTGTATATATATATAATTATGATTAATTATACGTGCAACAACAATAGATCCTGACGAAGAATGACCAACAAATACGCGTGTATATTTACTGCATGGAGGGGAAAAATAACCGATGGTTTTGAGAAAGTTTCCGACATTTTTTTTAACTACGCGGTAATCAAACGTGGCTTGCCAGAAAATTAACCATTTACCCTCTGGTTATTTAACATCGCTATGGAAAATGGCCCATTCATTTATAGATGATTCATCATGATTTACCGATTAAACATTGTGATTTTCCATGGAATATTCATGGAATATTGGTCAATACCCTTTGGTAAACATACAAAAAACTATGGAAGATCACCATTTTTCATGGGCAAAATCACTATAAATATGGTGATTTCCCATAGCTACGCTATTTAAAACCAACCACAGGGTAGTCCGGTGAAGCCATCGACAGCCGAAATGTAGATCCGGATGCTATTCCCATCCAAAAACCACTGAAATATACCACTTTTTTTCGTTGGTGAAGCTCCTATGAATGTTATGAATCATCATCTAAGATTTCATCCGTTCTAAAAATTTGATAAAACATGTTTACCATTGCTTGAACTTCCCTTTAAAAAGATCTCCCGACTATCAACGTTGTGAGTCTGTTTCCATCATTTTCCGATGATTCTTCCAATGGCCCTACTTTTGAACTTCCCATAGTTCGACATTTGGCTATGGATCAATAATGATCAATACCTATACATACCATTTTTAGGGGGATGAACATCCATTTACCAGCTATTTTGATGTTCACCAGGGGGATAGGGTTTTGACCCATCCCAATTTCCCACAGCGTCAAACCGATTCCCAGCGCCGCGACTCTCGGACGTCCGAGAAGCTTCCCGCAGCCGGTGGTGCCCACGATGCCCACCTTGGTTCTGGGCCTGGCGAGTTGATGCGAGGCCAGGGGAGGTCACTGTTTTTTCACCAGCCATGTGGAGATAACATGATATAACATAGATATGGAAAATCCACTATAAATGGACATGGTAAACTAACATAGATAAATGTCTGGAATATCCATGATATAACATGATATAACCTCTGGTAAACGTTTACATAGATATGGAAAGATCCACCATGTTCAATGGGAAAATCCACTATTTCTATGGTCATTTTCAATAGCTATGTAACAAATTACCAGAGGGTAACCAGGTAACAGAATGGGAATTTCACCAAGCCATAAATGAATCCAAAACGGTGCTTTCAGCAGCCAACATAGTGATTTTTGAGCCATATTTCAGGCAACAAATATCAATGGTTGTATACAGTAATTATCAGTAATTCATGGTGGTCCAATGGAATATGAATAAAATCATCAGAACTGGTATTTTTACTTACTACATAGTAACCAGGGTTTTATCAGCCAAATATGGTGAATCATCAGAACAGGGTGATTTAATATGATTCAATCATCACAGGAGATAGAATGTCAAAACGGCCAAGAACGATTGACCCTGCAATCGACCACACAAACGTCAAAGCAAAACCTATTGCTCGGAAAGCGGTAGCCCCCTTTTGGACTCAGCTAAGCCTCTAGGCCCTGTGACCTTGGTCAAATCCCCAGATGCTGGCTTGAATGATAAAATGCCAGCGGGCAAGAACATATGTGATGGAAACACCCAAGAGAGTGCAGACATGAGAGAAAAGCACTCCTAAAAAATCTTTTGTTGGGTGTTTCGTCTCACATCACAGCTACTGAGTCTGGCGGTAACCAGGATAGGACTTTGCCTTTGCTTTCGGCTGGGCATCTCTCACCACGCCCCATTCTTCCTCATTCATCATCGCCTCCTCTAAGTCAGCTGACATTCCTGCCAAAATCATGGCTTGGTCATGTGATCCGTTGAACTCCTTCACCATGAAGGACAGAAACTTGTTGCGCCACAAAGGATACTCATGCAGCTTTCGGCTTCCCTCGTTCATCAGGTCAGCTACGGCAGCTACAAAGGGTTCGTCGGTCGGAACAAAAACCTGACGATCTTTGTCTCCTTTCTCCACCATTTCTGGCTTCTCCTGGTCACGCAAAAAGTACGACATGATGCCTTCATCCATGAGGTTCTTCAATGCCTGACCCCACCCTTCGCATCCATCTGGCATTGGAGACACAATCTTTTCCTGAATCAAGTCCTTGTAGGTCTTGAGCACTTTGGTCAAAGTGTCTTCCACTCCGTCCAGATATGTGGCACCCCCTGTGATCGCAATCATCTTCGTTGATTTGGTATAGGTCAAAGTGATGAGGTTCTCCTCTCCACGAAACAGCTTGCTGTTCATGGCATGAGCGGAGATCTTGATTTTCACCATCGCCTTGCTCTGTTGCAAGTGCTGCAGGTAATCCTCACCATTCTTGGCGTGAACACTGGCCATCACCTCAAACAGGGCTCTAATCTCCTCCTCCGTGAATCCAACGGCACTCACCTTCACCATGTCAAAATTTCTACGGTTCCCTGACACAAAACACACCTGGGTTGCTTGAGCACTATCAGGAGTAGTTGAAACCTTCAGCTTCCTACTGACACGCAACTGTCTTTGTTCAGCTGCGGCCTGCATATTCGTGCTTTCAGCATGTAGGTGATATTGATTTGTGATCAGTGCTGCTCTCAAAATGTCCATGGCCTCAGGATTTTCTTTGGTCAATGCATCTGCTAGTTGTATCCATGTAGGAGCCCACCGAATACTACCATGCAACCGCTGAAGTGTCTCTCTCACAATCACAAGGTCAATGGCTACTCTCTTGTCTCCTACGCTTCCAGGTGATGCATAGCTCTGCAAATGGTCATAAATTGACTTACAATCTACAATTGCCTGCAACCCAAAGCTCTCCATGTATTTCTCCCTTTCTGCCAAAGAAAAATCTCTGTACTTCGCTTCCGCAAGATGACAAGCTATCCACTCTGCATGCCCCAAACCATCCATGAGCACTTGACTTTCCCCTGCAAAAGTCGATCCCACAACACGTTTCAAACGGTATGATTTCCATGTAATAGGAGCCCATGGAGCAGGTTTCCCACTGCGCAGATTGTCATTTGTTACCCCTACCAAATAACCAGCTTGAGTCCCTTGCTTCTTTGCGTTTGCAAATGCTGCATCTGTGTGTAAAACAAGTCTGAGTTCAGAAAGAGGAATTGCCAAAATCTTCCATGTTAAGTGCTTATACTGCTTGGCTCTCCTAACCACATTTCCGATAGTTCTCGCTTCTCCCAATGTTGGTTTGGGCAACATCTGTTGTCCCTGGCTCACCTGTACGGCCAGATCTGGACGGGTTTCTTTGGCCAACCACAAAGCGCCACCAAGAGTCGATTTCAGAGATGAGGTTTCTTCCTCAGTCACCTCCAACAATGGACTGTCTTTCATACGCAGTTTAGGACGTTGAAGTTTTTCTGCAAAGGACTCTTGAGACACAGTGATATTGAAGGTTTCTTTGCATTGGGACAACTCGGCACCGCAAAAGGATCCGGCATGGAGCTTCCATTTTCTAAATGGAAATTGTTTCTTCAACAGCTTTAAGGATTCTTCAAAAAGTTCCCCTTGCCCTCCAACTAGAACATCATCGACATGCACTCCCATGATGCCTACCAAAGTGTCCCCATCCCAAAGAAGAAAAACACAAGGATCCATCCTCGATTGCTTCCATTTGAGACCAGTTGTAGTGTTGCGGAACTTTCGAAACCAAAGCTGTGGGGAATCATTTAAACCGTACATTGGTCGGATAACCTCAAATAATTGTCCAGGTTCATATCCGGGAAGGTCATGACGTGGAGCATCCATGAAAAGTGGGCCATGTTCTCGTGACAATGCATCTGATTCCAAAAACGCTCCAGTGACGTCTCCTAACTGCAGGACAAAACGAAGGCTTGCAATAATCTGAAGCACAAGAAATCTGCCATTGGCCGATATGGTAGGTGCTTGAGTACGACCATCTCTTACCAATGAATACAGATCAGGATCTCGATCCCCTCTTGCGGTCCATCGTGCTTTCACAACAAATGTTCCATCTTCTTGGTCTTTCTCTGTAAGCACCAGTCGGCTCGGCATGATTCGGTCCGGATATTGCTGCCGAAGAACTCTCGATTCCTCTAGCGGGATTGGCCTCAGAGCTTTCTTGTCATGAACAACCGTGTTGAATTCTTTCATCCAACCCTGCATGATTCTCTGTTTACCATCCTCACTTCTCCATTTCTCATCTTTCATGTTGATCTCTTTACGGCCACCCACTATCAGAGCATCCGTCTCATCGCATGCCAGAACAAAATTGACATCTGTTGTGTCTTCATTGCTGGAAAAACAAGTGGCTTGTGCTGCAGAATCCTGAACAAAAGAGCATGTAGAAGAAACTGGAATAACTGATCGGTCTGAACTTGAAGATAGAATTTCATTGCTTGATGGTAAATCTCCTTCACTGACCGCTCTTCCAACAGATTGTGGGGGTGATGGCATAGATGGTGGGTATTGCATCCCGCTAACTTGTTGAAATTCCGTTCTTGCTCTCTTTGGATCTGCACTGCCCGCCGCTGTGCTTGCCGGTCGCCGGAGACTGTGGCTGTCCAGCTGGTTGGCTCTCGCTGCTGATTCCATCCATTGCTGAAGTTCCTCTCCAGACATCTGACTGATTCGATCGCCCAAACTTCCCAAACTCCCCATGCTGTAACCTGAAGACTCTCTACTTTCTGACCTACTTGACTCATGTTGATCTCCATGTTGTTGTTCTACTGGTTGAGATTCTTCAGCTATGCTGGACAGCGGTGGTCGGGAATCGGCACGGCAATCGGGAATCGCTTCGGAACCCATGGACAGCAAATCTCCTGGTGGTAGATCTTCTTTAGTGATGTCAACAAATTTTTTCTGAGTACGATTTGATACCCCAACCTCTGGAAACAAAGCTGCTGATGCCGCTCTGAGATCTCTCACCAGGAAACGATCGGCTTCTCGCTCTTCAGTCGTGCGCAGACGAATTTGCTCCGGTGCACACTTGACGAACGCCCCGGGCATGGAAATCCAATAGTTTCCACCAGCACTACCAGCTACTAGGCCAGGTCCCCTCCATCGAGCTGTTGACTTTTTAATACCCCTTCCCCGTCTCCAAATAGCAACCTCGTCACCTGGTCGAAATTCACGATGGGGTCTAGGTCTACTATTGAGGGCAATTCTTGCTGCTCGATGGTCTAGGGATTCCAGCACTGCCTTTCGAGCGGAGTGGCGCGCCGCATGAGAGAACTGAGCAATCGCATCTTCAAGGATGGCACTGTTTGCAATCGGATTGGGTGCTTCCGCCAAAATATCATCACCAGGATATTCAGGATCACGTCCAAAAACCAATTGATTAGGACTATAACCACCTCTTCTCATGATTGAATTTCTTGCTTCAACAGTTACATCCACACATTCCAACCACTCATTGTAATCACTAGGGTTCATCTCATCAATGACCTTGATCAAAGCAACCTCAAAGTGACCCCCTTGACTCTCCACATCTCCCATTTGATGATGTGCTTCACCGGGAATGTCCAATGGTGTCGTGCCATCCCTTTCCAACAGATCCAGAAACGGCTGACCTAAGTTGCAACGGCTCGCATCAAACTTGATGTATCGCGGTCGGCCAAAAGCCCTTGTCCACTGTCGATACAACCTGGCTATTACCTCTGAAGTTTCTGTTTCACGAAAAGGAAAAATCTGTTGAAGACCTGACGCTCGACACACTATGTTGGCTGCTTTGATCTTGTAATCCTTTTTCCATGTCGGCAACCATTTGACATCCAAACCAATGTACCTAAGTGGAGCAAGATCTCTTGGTGGAGCGCTGTCTCGCACCGCTTTGGGCATCTGTCTCGCACTGCACAGGTCACATTGAAAAGCCCTCACCATTTCCAGAACCTGCGGTTGAGCATGATGATGTCTGAGAATCCTAATCATGTCTTCTGTTGATGCATGTCCAAGATTGATGTGCATCTTTCTGATTGCTCATTCAACTTGTCTACGATGGTCACCTTTGATTTCTGGATTTTGGATTGTGGCCTGACTCACTGCCATGCAGGCATCTTCAAAAACATCTGACATAGCTATGCCCCCCAAGATGATGTTGATCAGTTTTGGGGGATATACTTGTGATTGTACTGACCTCAGCTGCCCACCTGATGATCCTTCCACTGCTTGATGCACGTGGTCACCAGAGCACTTGAGTCGCTCCAAAACGGCTGCAACACTTGGCTTTGAGGTCATGAATCTCCACTTCTTGCCAAAGAGGTGTCCTGAGCTCTTGTCCTTCAAACCAACCGCACATGCTGGGACATCCACTTGTTGATGCCAACTTGCCCGTCTCAGTCTTTCAACGCTCTCGCGTTTCCATGCATGACAACCCTGTGATGACTCAAAGATGTAATCCTTTCCCCTGCTCAACTGCTTCAAAGCCATACGCACACTCCAGTCCATCATCATGCCAGCTATTCGCTGCTCCCTGGCAAAAGCTTCTGGATCAAGTCGTTTTGAAGCAGGAGTAAGGTTCTGCAGCTTCGACAGTGGTCCGCAAGGTGGACATATCAGCAGAACATCGGGATCCATCAATTCAATGGCCTCCTCAGCTCGGGCACGGCACCGGATCTTCCTCCAGTCCCATCCATCACTGAGGTCAAAGGAGCCACGGCATGTCACCCCAAACTTCTCGCAAGGTGAAAAGATCTCAATCATGGTCGGCTTAGTGCTGTCATCTGCAAGCACTGGAAGCACCTCGCTCAACTGCTCCTGCAATTGTTTCCGTTCCAGAGTTTTGAAGACACACCACGCTCCTGCCTCATCATAATCATCTTCACTTTGATCTCCACCTCCATCGTTGCCTTCGGTCTCAGGGCAACGTCGATCAGTCACCATATTCACCTTGGTTTCAGCTCCTTTGGGGATCACATCCCTCCTCAGTCTCCAATTTGGCTGGACCTTTGAAATCCAACAGATTGATCTGGTAAGAGCCATCTCGTTTCTCCAACATCTCAGTGGAAATGCCCAGCTTCTTGAAGTGAACATGATTGTCCCCCAAGTCCAGATTTGCACCCAAACTTTTGAGAAAACGTTTTGATACCAAGAGCGGCACCTCTCCTGGGACGACATGAACTCGCATTCGTAGTTGGGCTCCTCCAAGATAGACTGGAATTTGGACTCTTCTCGTAGAAGTGTCTGATGTCCCATTACCGTATCTGAAGGTATGGGGTCGTGAAGTGAGTTCTTCAATGTCTAAGCCAAACTTGGTCATGGCTTCTTGGTGTCGTTTCAACGTTTGTTCTCCCACCAAACCACGTCCGCATCCCGTGTCAACAACCCCAAGCCCAGGTTGATGCACCAGCGCGACCAAGCTTTCGTCTGCTCCTTCTCCTTCTTCCTCAGACTCTGGCTCCAGGCATGACTCACTCACTGCTACTTGATAGGCATGACTCAGCTCCTCCACTGTGTTCGCCAAATCCTCCTCTTCCATCTCATCTCCATGGCTCTTCAGACGGTAAAACACGCTCTTTCCCGTCCATGACCAACCTGTTGCTCTGCTGCATTCTGTCCTGTTCCGCCAATTTGGGGAGTAAATCTCCTCTGTCTTGCCATCCTCCCTCACGGCAAAAGTCTTTCGCGCAGGACTCAACTCATGCGCAGGGCACGGACAATTGGAAAAGTTTGGACTGTAGAGTGACGCTCTTGGCAACACGTGTTCACGAATGACCATGTCACCCTCAGTTCTCCAAAAATCCCTTGGTGCTTGCCCCCATGCCTCCACCAATGACATCACGTCCTTGTCATTTTCCAGGTCACTCCTTGCCATCAGCACAAAACTTGCCCTCGATGACGATGCCGTAGATGGTGGCGCTGACTTGCCGAACTTCTTCTTGCTCGGGCAATCTCTGGAAAAATGTCCCACCTGTTTGCACTTGAAACATCGGACTCTGGCCTCGATTCTTTTCAGGTCGCGGCCACTTGCCAGACCTCGAGACAGCTTCTCTTTGGTAATGTTTGCCCTTGTCTGCTTCCAGGACAGCAAAACATCAATCGCATCCTGCTCCTCCAGAACCTCCTCAGAGTTTATGTCAAAGGTGCCCTCGGTGAACATCACATCGCCCTCTTCCGGAGCGTCCTCGGATTCAATGAGATCATCATCATTCAGGCTGTCCACCTGAGCCACATGAGACTGACGTCCCATGAAAAGACCCTCTGGGTATGTTGTCCTCAAAGCCGATGCCACATCCTGTTCAATGTAACTTTGGCGCGCAGCTGCCATCACCACTGCCTTCTTCTCCGGTGACAGCTTTGCAAACCTCAGCAACAAATATCCTCGGGCAATCGCCGGGAATTTGATGCCCTCAGATTCTGCCGCAGTGAACGCTGCACGAACCCGCCCAGTGTATGCCGCCGTAGTTTCACCCTTCTCCACCTTCAGGTCAAAGATGTTGTCCAGCACTTCCCCCACCCGATCATGGGTGGCTTCTTCAGGAAATCGCTCATCCAACACTTGGTATATGATGTCCTGACCTCCAGCCTGCTCCAATTCATCCATGCCGTGTGAATCGAAAGCTCTCAGTGCTGCACCATCTAACAGAGTGAACAAAATGGAGCCAAGTGCTTCTTCACTGACTCCTCTGGCTTTCTGGACCACCAGATGAGCTCGTGACCATCGCTTCCACTGCTTGTACTCTTTCTGCGGATTCGGTCCTTCCCCTGAAAAACGTTTCACCGCAGTCTCTGGTCTGCTTTCCATCCCTTCGACGCAGCCGTAGCCAGAATTTGGCTCAAGCCAGTCAAAACGGCCAAGAACGATTGACCCTGCAATCGACCACACAAACGTCAAAGCAAAACCTATTGCTCGGAAAGCGGTAGCCCCCTTTTGGACTCAGCTAAGCCTCTAGGCCCTGTGACCTTGGTCAAATCCCCAGATGCTGGCTTGAATGATAAAATGCCAGCGGGCAAGAACATATGTGATGGAAACACCCAAGAGAGTGCAGACATGAGAGAAAAGCAGAATGGTTATCAATTGAATACGAAAGGGATATGAATGGAATATTGGTTAATACCTTCCGGTAGTCAAACATGGCTAGCTCAATGGCAATTTCAGGAACCTTAATTGGAGCTATATAAGGCCTATGTAAGGGAACATCCCCACAAAGTATTGCCTTATATGGTATAGTACCTCCATTTTAGGATCCTGAATTTCCCATTCACCAGCTGGGAAATCCCGGGTCCGAAATGGCTATTTCAAAGGGACAATCATCCACCTAAGTTGTAGGGTTTCCATTGCCACGTTTCATTCGCAGAGGATATTGACAATCAATGAGCTCTGCAAAATAACAGGTATCATGAGGTTCATTACATATACATTATGCACCAACTACTATTTTTTACCAAAAGCTTTTCTTAAGACTCAACAACAAAGATTGATTAATCCCTTCCTCCTATTACTAAACGTCCCCCAAATACTAAAAACAGAGGTCCATCTCCAGTTTCGGAAAATTTCAGATTGGCCAATTTGACTTTTGATTGATCCCCTTTAGAAAAGAATTTAAACATAAAGCTATCATTTGTGGGTTTTTCCCCCTGATACTATATACAAAAACTAGTTAACCGCGGGGTGCTTATTATTAGGGTCCGTCCGAAAAAAAATATATATTTTTTTATATATTAAAGGGCTTTTAATTTATTATTAGGGCCCGCTTCGAACACCAATTTTTGGCAACAGTTTAATGGCGTTGTATAAGGAAATTTAATTGATTTTGAGATCGGAATTATTTTATTATTAAGGGTTTAATTTTATTAATAGGGTCCGCATCGAAATCCAATTTTTGGCAATATTTTAATGGCGTTATATAAGAAATTTAATTGATTTTGAGATCGGAAAAAATAGTTCTTATTATTAAGGGTTTAATTTTATTAATAGGGTCCGCATCGAAATCCAATTTTTAGCAATACGCAATATTTTAATGGCGTTATAAGAAATTTAATTGATTTGACATCGGAAAAAATAGTTTTTATTATTAAGCGTTTAATTTTATTAATAGGGTTCCCTAATAATAAATACCCCCCTAATACTAAAAACTACCTGAGGTGTTTATTATTTTGGCGGGGTTAGTATTAGGAGGAAGGGATTACAGTATTCAGTGCGTTCCCCAAAAACGCAAAATCAATTTAACTAATGAATCATCCTCATATCACTATCTTGGGTGGGTAAAGGTAATGGTAGGTATTTCAATTGTAATATTTCCTAACCGAATTTTTCCGGCCATGTCGGGATAGTTCAGTTAATTACCCCAATCCTACCCGTCATTACAGTGACATCTTGCGATGATTTCTTCCCGTGGTTATGATGATGATAATGATGATAATGACATAGTGTGAATAACTTAATAAGTCTAAACCTATCAAACGAAACAATACGCATCTACCGATACATATATACTATAAATTTAAATACGTATAGATTTGAGGAACCAAATCAACACATGTAAATGCGAAGTTGAGATCTATAATTGTCTATATCGTTTGCGTTTTTGTATGCAAAGCAGTGGTGTCACATTACAAAATCATCAAGGCCTTATCAAGGCATAGAACCATAATTTGTAAACCTGACACTGAGTAAACCAGCTTGTGCAAAACCTGACTTCATACCGTTGTATATTCATTGTATATTCATTTTGTATATATACCCCATAGGATCCATGTATGGTATATATATGTATATATGCTGACATTGGGGGTATATTGATGGTAAATGTTACCATATATAGCATACATGGATCCTATGGGTACATTAGTGGATTATAGATGGTCTGGACAACTTATAACCAGCCTGAAACGGCTGGTTAACCATCTCCAAATCTCCAACCTCCATTTGTTAGGCCATGTCCAAGCAGTGTCCACAATGCGCACCATATATGGGGCGACCGGTCATGCGATGTCACTAAGAACTATTCTGATATGGATTGATATGGTGGGTTACTGTAGTATGCTGCTGTTTCTTCTTCGGAACTACCCGCAAATATGCGTATATTTTGTTGACAAACCACATGTACCCTACTACATCCTACTATACCAATTGCTGAATTCAAAAACATCCAGAAATCATCTATCTCAGTGGCATGAATCGCGACGTGAACAGTTATCTTCGTGGATGATTTGAGGATTTTGAGGTGTTCTAGTTGGACCCGGTTGGACAGGACTGGTGATCACACAGCAAGTCCCCAGGGTCCCCAGACTCGAAGCAAAGAGTGATGCCCTTCAGCACGTCTCGAGGGATGTCTGCATATCCAGCTTTCACCTGGGGAGAGAAAAAAAAACATGTCGAGCACACAATTGGTGCCCCCAAGGTTATGTGTGTTTCTTTATAAAGCCCATTCACCGTAGATAATCATAGATATATCTACCATACGCATCCATACGCATCCATACGCATCCATACGCATCCATACCATAACTCAAAATAGTCTAATTACAAAAAAAAGATTCAGATACACTCACTTGCGGTGGTACCCAGGGCAGAGGTACACTGTACGGTACCCAGTTCCTGGCTGCAGCTGAGCCCTCCACATTGTCTAATTCCAGTTTGGCTCCGCCAGCGCACCAACCACTTCGCCTTGGAGCAGGGATCAATTTTTTGAGCCACATCTTGGGAGATAGGCCTCAAATAGCAATGTTCTCATGGGGAACATTATGACGATTATGACGATTATGATGAACAATTTTTGGGGCACAGAAATTTGAGACAAAACACACAAAAATGGCTTTGATATGCTTTGATATGATATATCCAACAATGACAAGACAATAGAAATCAAGTGCGGGCTTGTCCCACTTTTTCGGACCCCAATGCAGCACTTGCTGCTTCGGATTTAAATTTCTGAATTTCCATTCGAGGTGGTGCTAACTTGATAGGAAAAAAAGGATGTTTGCCCCAGCGAATCCATCCCCACTTTCCACCATTCCCCCCTTTGTTCCAAGGCCCCCAGGCAAATCCAGCACCAGCTCTACAGTTGTGGAACCATCGCCACAGAGTTCTTTCCTCAGTGACTCAGGGGTCGGGTGGGGGGTTGTCAGCGAGGTGATAGAAACATGTGTAGAATCAGTGTGGACAAAATGTTGGAACCCCAATTGATCCTAGTTGTCATGATTTGTCAAGCAGAAGATCAAGCATATATATATATATATCTCTCTCTCTAAGCGATTTCTCGCAAGTGTTTCACGATTCATTTCGAAACCAGCCTGACCACATCCCATGTTGGTGGGTTACCGTAAGCCTTGGCAAAATCTGTGATTTCGCAAACTGAACCTGTTGTCCATTTTATGATATTTTATGGGATGATTATCCTTATCGATAGTTTATGGGGTTCGGTCAACCGCTGTTTCCCTACATTTGATCTTCATCACCACCTTTAAAAGGAATAATGAATGATAAACATCACCATTGGGCTGACTGAAATTCCATAATGTAAACTCCGCATTGAGAACCCATAGGCTGTTTAATTGTGGGCTGACTGGGCGAAAAAATCTTGTGCCAGATGTTCCATCCCGAATTCATCAGGGTGGGTTGGCATTACCATCATCTAGCTCTCATCATTAAAATCTTCTGTTACCGGTCACCACCCAAAAAATGGAGCAGTTATACCTATCAGACCTATCATCAGCCTCGCTATTGCTGGTTAAGGGACACATTCATAATTCATACTGTCATACATTGTATCTGCTGATTCTCCATGCAGAAAGAAATGTTGGTACCATGACTTCCCATACATACAAACATGTGTGTATAATATGTATATATATATATACATATGGTCCGTGATATCTTTCTATCTCTCTATCTATTCTAATCTAACCAAATCTATTCTATACTATTCTAAATTAATTTATATAATCCATGTAATTTCTGAAAGTAATCTATGTAATCTATGTAATCTATTTATCTATCTATCTATCTGTCTGTCTGTCTATCTATCTATTTATCTATATCTATATCTATATCTATATCTATCAATATCTATCTATATCTATCTATATCTATCTTTCTTTCTTTCTTTCTGCATTGCATTGCATTGCCTTACATCACATTACATACATTACATACATATATACATACATAAATATATACATACAGTGTATGTATATATATTTATAATTATACATATACAATGGATGGGCTTGACTTCACTGATTCACCATCATCCAAAGAAAAAACATCTGACCCACAGAGCGCCAAGTTGCGCCAGCGCTTCTGCATCGTTGATGGCATCATTGACGCCCACCAGGCGGTGCCTGCGCCCACGCGACCAGCATTGCCAGCCCGCACGCCCGGGTACCCCAAATCATCCAGACCTCATGGACCATGACTTAGTATTGAAACCCATGGTAACTTGGGGATCCACCATTTTAGGAAAGCTCCATATGATGGATATCAATATATGTATATATATATATATCATAATATCATAATTCAACTAGATTTGAGTCTGAAAGAATCTTCTCATATCCTTTCTCAACCCCCAAGACTTAGGTGTATCTTAAAATAGGGCACCTCATATTCCACCGCCAAGCATCCCCACCAGGCATGGGCTTCCCTCAACTTGGCTGCGCTGCGACAGAGTTCAGCAAAGGGCAAGCCCTGGTGACTCAGTGCTGAAGGTGTCATCCCCCGATATCAGTGATGCGAGCGATAATCAGATTAGGGCTCTATCATCATCCCAACACATGGCAAAATTAGGGCTCTCTCATATTGTCTCAGTAATCAGATTGAAGAAACAAAAACCCGGGAACTCTGGGTCCAACCAACAGTTGCTTTTGCCGCTTCAAGTCATCCAAGCTGCAAATCTACGACTGCTGAGAATTGATGATCCCAGGGCCCTAGGAGCCCTGGATGACCAGGTTTTTCTTAGCCCCGCCCAAGGACCTTTAGAACATCCAGTTGCTTGGCTTTGCATAGTTCACTCATGACGAATGTATTGAATACCCATCACTTAATAAGCACATGTGGCATATATATATATATACATACATACATACATATATATATATATGTATACACGTATAAATACTGGTATGTGTGTGTGTAAATTTTACATAACCAATAATGAATAATGTATAATGATATATATATATATATCCTCGAATAGAATATAAATCTAATGATTCACCTATGAAGATATTTGTATCTAACCCTCATTTTTGTGCACTCTGAGCCATTTTTGCGGCTACAGTACTTTGAGTGTCTTGGTATCTTTGACGGCATGGCGTCACTGCCCAGACCTCACCTCCTTCTGGGATGCAGCAATGGAAACTAATGCCTGTCAGGTGCCAAAGTGGAAGATGATATGCACGAATTTGACACCCTGTTGCACTAAGTTGCCAGCCTCTTGTTGGTTGGGTCGTTTTGCCAGTGAACATGAGGATATCAGAAGATATCATGGATGGCTTCCATCATGGTCCAGCATTGTTTCAAGTAGAGTAAGTACAACCATCTGATGGAAAAGCCTGGTGGTCCAGCGATGACCCTGGCAAAAACCGCCCTTACACATGAGCATCATGAAGATGATTATTTGTGTTGTAATTATCATTACTTTCATGATCATTATCATTATATATTATTATATAGTAGTGGTACTGTCCTGGTTATATATTGTTATAGAGAGTGCCACGTAGTTTATAGTCCTGCTACAAAAATGCGAATGAAATCAACACTATAAATCTGATAGTCCATAGTAAATATAGTAAACTATTAGCATTAGTATAATTAATGGTGGTAGTCAATCCATGGCAGCAATTTTAACAATTCTTCTACCGTTCTACCCAGAAGGCAAAGGCCTTGTTGTCAGTGGAAGACTGCAGCAGCATCGTAGAACCTACTACGAAAAGGAGAGGCGATGGCTCTGGGTGGATAGGACAGGATTGCCTGTCCTAAGTGGAGATTTCACCAGCCCAAATTGGTGAAATTTGTTTATAAAACAATGTTTAACATTGTTTAACCAGTTTAAACATCAAACTTGAACACTTGATTTTGGGTTTGACGACTCAGAAGAGTCATCATGATGCGTTGGAATTGGGGGTACCTCCTTTTCAAACCGCGAAATTGTCATACCAGCAACAAAGGTGCATTCATCCCATCACCCACCGGCACTTGCGGCTTGGGTCAAATGCCAAACTCCAGTACGCGAAAACGTGAAAACGTTTATATGTGTTTATTGCTGGAAGCCGGATCAAATGTTTTGATGGTCTTCGCAAAAGAAATCATTACCCTCTGGTAAACTAACATAACTATGGAAAATCACCATTTTTATATAAATGCCCATGTTCAATAGCTATGTTAGTTTACCAGAGGGTAATGGAATTGGTCGGACTAATAAGAGGTTGCTGGTTCCCAAACCTCCATGAAAAACGTTTTTGTCTTCAAAGCACTCTTCACATCATACAACATCAAAATCATCTGGTTGGTGGTTTTAACCATCTTGAAACATATTAGTCAATGGGAAGGATTATCCCATATATTATGGAAAATAAAGAATGGGCCAAACCACCAACCCCATCATTATATCTATTAGCGTTGATATTAAATAATCATCACTGACATCAATCCTCATCGACATTAGCCATCATTTATTTTGCCAAATATATTTTGTTTTGGACAGCAATGGGAAATATTAGTTGATATAACCTATATTAATCCTTTCCCTGTATTAAACATAAAAATTAAATAACATATAGCTGTAATATACCTAATAAATTAACATGTAATAAGTTTAAGTAAATAAAAAAAAACTTGATTTCTATATACGTTGTAACATCTTTGTCCAGCAACTTGTAAGACGTTCCTGATACGTTGTAACATCTTCGTCCAGCAACTTGTAAGACGTTCCTGATACGTTGCAACATCTTCGTCCAGCAACTTGTAAGACGTTCCTGATACGTTGGAACATCTTCGTCCAGCAACTTGCAAGCCGTTCATTGGCGATAGAAAAAATGGCGCGCAGAAGTGTGCTAAAACCTGAAAAATTGAAGAACCATACAAAACCATGACGCTGATTTTGCAAGCTCATGAATGCCGAAAACATTGCAAAAACGCAAGAAAAAAAAACAAAACACACTGGCACGGCGAATGTCATCAACTGAAATCTGTGCCAAAACCCATGGCGTTTGGCATCCAATGTCTATCATATGAACGCCAAGAGCAGACATAACGTGCCGTGGCTTCAGTTTCCCACACGGGAAGTTTAAGGATCTTTAAGGATTCCGATAAAAATAACAAAAAACAGATACCCTCTGGTGAACTAACATAGCAATGGAAAATGGCTATTTATAGTGGATTTTCCCATTAAAAATGGTGATTTTCCATAGCTATGTTAAATTACCAGAGGGTAGTAGCTTTAGAGAATGAAATAACTGGTTCGCAGTAAAAAAAATATTTCTTTTTATAGAATGTATCAGCCTAGTATCAACAAGTACCAAAAATCGAGCACTTAGCCGCCCATTCATAGAATGCCTGGATTTGGGTGAAGGATGCCCACGGATATCCCATGATGTCCCAAAGCTATGGATTTCAAAAGGCAGCAAGAAACCAGAAAGAAAGCCAGCAGCACATCTTGTTTGTTTAAATTAAATATCCACCTTGTTTGATGTATATGCACCCCTATCTAGGCATTTCATTAAAAAATGGTGTTCATATGTATTTATGAAACAAAATATCCTACGAAAATCATATATCAACACTGCAAAATGCATGTCAATAAAGCCAAGTGAATGATATAGGGCAAAGTCCAGAAAGCCCAGGGATGTTTAAAATGTCTATGTAGCCACCAGGGTGTTTATGAAATGCCTGTGCCTGAGCCCACTGTGTATGTTCCATCCGTTTTCCAGAAGGGATTCAACGGTTTGCACACGAAGGTGGAGGTCAGTATTGCCAGCAATAGAGGGAAAGCATTCAAAATTCATTTAACATGCCAAGATGTTTGGTTTGATTAAGACAGTTTTTTAATGTTGTGATATGTTGTGATTGATGAATCAAATTATGCGAGGTCTTAACTGTCCTTGCTGTGCGAGATGGTTGTGGATAGCAATGGTTTACTTCTTTTTCTCCACCTGTCACCTTTTTGACAGAATCCAACCTATCAACAAACAACATGCTAATAAATCCACATGACTGTTTTATGAAAAGGCTTTGTTATGGATACAGAGGTCAGGCAAATTGGTGGATAGACAGATCTGAATGATTGATGGCTAATTAAATGGATTTATGGATGGCTAAGTAGGTAGACAATTGATACATAAGAAAATGGATCGGCAATGATAGAGCTAGGAGCATGAGTGGTTACTAATGGATGAACATGAAGAAAAATAAATTAAACACGTGAATGAGACTGCATTATTTTAAACAAGTGGTTTATAAAATGGTTCAGAAGGCGTTTGTTTTTTTAATAGAATGAATCGGAAGCATATTTATGGAATGGTCCGGCAAATTTAAGGATCTGAGATTTTGATAGATTAAAACATATCAGATGGAAGGTTTATAAGGCATGGCTGCTAGGCGGTCAAAGGTAAAGACCGACGCAAATTCTACTAGGCAGCAACAATGATGATCAAACATAAAAGTACCGATCTAATCATAATCATATGTATTGAAACGTAACACTTTTTCAATTATTGCGGAACATACTCAAGTTACATGAAGTAACATGAAACGAACTTCATTGAATGTATAGTGACAACATCCCCTGTTGTCTGTTAAAAGGCAGCAGGAAACCGTACATGCAAGCCCGCAGCATGTTTCGGTTTATAAAATGCTATTTTGAGTGCATATTTGGTCCAAGCAAGTCTGTTACCCGAATCGAACCTGACAGCCCATCGGATTTATGGAATGAATCAACCAGCATGGTTGACTTCCATTTAACTTCCAATTGTTCGAGCATGTTGGTTTTTATAGAATGTGTTCATGGGTTGCAAGAATACATTGTTAATAGAATGAAGAGGAAAGGTTCAAGAGGTTGCTTGTTCCAGCCGGTCCGATGCTACTGGTATTTTCCAGAATCTGGGTTTATAGAATGATACTCAGACTCAGAACCGCATTCCATAAACGACAAGAAACTCATTCTATAAAGGTACATTAGCGGGGGATTATATATGTGTGCCCAGCGTTGCTGATATATGGATATAATATATATATGGTATAATCTTGGGACTTGGCCATATTATATGTATATATATATAGATACATACATAATATCACATAAATACATATATATATAGTTATATATTCATATATATACATATATTATGTATATATACACATGTATCCTTATGTCTCATGAATTATCATTATATGATATTACATGTAAATATCAACAGTGTTGCTACATAGCCATGGACTTTGCCCCATGAGGTCGCCCCAAAAAAAAAGGTGTCGCTCTTTCCGCCTCGGTAGACCTTGACCACGTTCTCCTCGCGCCACCAGTTTAAGGCGCCTACCGCCTGTCCAGGGCTGCCCTGGGGAGATGGGAAAACACATGGGAAAACAATGGGAATTCCAGGATCCTAAAATGGAGGTACTGTACCATATAAGGCCATATTTTGCTGGGATATTCACTTACATAGCCCTTACATAGGCCTTATATATGGTAGGTACCTCCAATTTAGGTTCCTGAAATGGCCATTGAATAAATGAAGGTACCCCAATAGCTGGATGGTTGAGGGAAAATCCAATGAAAATCCGAACATCCAACGGAGACTTTTTTGGGGTACCCAAAGGGGCCCCATGGTAGCCCCATTTATGGAAAAACTATAGTAAAACATAGGGAAATCCACTGTGAAGCTGGGATTGGGATTGGGAAAATGGTCCCAAGTTGGCAGCAAAAAGGATACCTCTCCGGATACGTGTTCGGCGATCTGTTTATAGTTTATAGTTATAGCTTGGAAAATCAGCTCTAATATATATATATAAATATATTATACGCATTTTTCTCTATATATATATATATGTATGTATGAATATATATATAGTCAATCAGAATGATTTGAAATGTTTAAAGATTACAGTAAACCACGATGATCGACGATGTAATTAAGTATGCCAATACAAGTTCGCGTCACAGAGAAGTAGGTCAGCTCGAAACCATGGCTGGCTTCCCTGCAGAGGCCTGCTGGGTATAAACCTAATCTCTGTAACTACCAAAAGCCATTTGAAGTGATCTCTGGGAGTCGTGTCAGGTTCAAATCTCTACAGTATATTCTACTTTTAAGGCATCCCAAAATTTACCAAAAGTTGACTGCAGGGCGTGTCATGCACCTTAGAATCTACATACTTTTTTCCTGGGGCCAAAAGTAAAATAACGAAAACAAGTGAGATGCCGGCACGCAAACATCTTCATGGGACGCCTTTACAAATGTAGCCCTCAAAAAATCGGGTGTGTCGGAACATAGTGGGATGTCCATGCCCTCAAAGTCGACATGTTTTTCCTTAATCATTAATGTGGTTAAAACAATAATAAACCATAATAAACAATCCCCCAAATCACAATTCTTATAGGTGGTACCAGTAGTTATAAACCATTCCCAGATGGGTGCTTTATGGCTTTGTTTTACCCCCATTACATCATCTTCCCCAATAAATCGGCCATAAACCGGCTGTAAAATCCCGAGTTCTGGGATACCCCCACTGCCCGGGAGAGTCGCAGGGTAAAGCTTCGATACCTAGAGGCGCGTCATGTAGGGGGATCAGGCTGGGTCGCTGTCAATCATCTTGTGAGAAATCGGAATCACAAGGGTGAAACATCATTTTTGATTCATTTTGTCTTAAGGGATGGGGGTTGAAATATATCATAATATATCATAATCCTATCCACCGATCATATTAAACTCCCCCCTTCTGTGGTGTTTAGTATTAGGGTGAACATCCATTTGCCCGGGCCCAAGCCAGTGATCATACCGGATGGACGTCCAACTACCAGCTATTTGGGTGCGAACGGAAGGATAGGCCCATGCCCATGTTTTATCCTCCCAAATTGCACATGAATGTTCAAGAAGAAAATGGCTGGTAATGTAGTAACTATATATAGTAATACGATGCAAAACCTTGACATAATTTTTGATGTGTTTTCATTTCGACAGATCCCCACGAGCAAAATAGCATAAAATAGCATATTATCAACACATTCATACATATGCACATGTGCAAACAGTGCATCTTGCACGCGGATGCTGGGTTCTCCGGCGCAACGTCAGCATCACCTGAAGAATCCCGAGGTCTCTTGGCCAGAAAATCAAGGAATATCACATCATCTATAAATTGTTCATTGAATCTCATAATCACATCATCCATAATATATACCCTCTGGTTATTTCACATAGCCATGGAACATGGCCCATTTATAGATGATTTTCCCGTTAAAGCCTCCATTTATAAGGGATTTTCCAAGGCTATGTTAAATAACCAGATGGTAGTTACCCCTATCAATGATTATCAATGGGGGAATTGCATCACCAGCTTCGGTTTCCACTGGCTGTGCCGCCAAACTCTTTGCCCCTCACCATGGAGATTCTCGATTGCCATGTTTGATTTTCAGAGGGTAAGGAGCCTGGCATGACTTGGCATAGCTTGATCATTCTCTGAGGCTTTGGACTTGTGAGATATCGTTCTTGTGGGACCTCAGTGGCTCAGTTACGTTGAACTAGCATAAATTTCCGTCTGATGGCAGCAGCCGCAGCTCAAAAAGTGTTGAGAAAAATAGCCCGCACTCTTACAACAGAATCTAAAATGAAAACATAACATAACATGTACCCTCTGGTAATTTAACATAGCTATTGAAAATGGCCATTTATAGTGGATTTTCCCATGAAAAATGGTGGATCTTTCCATAGTTATGTTAAATTACCAGAGGGTAACTTTGGTGCTCTAAAATCAACACCAATGCCATCAAGTGTCCTAAATATGGGAGTGTCGAATGTGGGATCAACAAACATCAAAAAACCTGTCCCCAATGTTGAACCATTCTGAATCTCTTATAGACCATCATGAGTCGGGGGTATGCCCCCCAATCAACTTCATAAACCACAATGGGATGTGCTAAATTGTGGATTGGATTTCGCAACGACCTATCCTTGGCTGGACTTCAAGGTCGTCTGCAATCAAACTGAGGCTCCGACATCTACATACTCATTGATCCGGGCCTGAATGAGTTATTGAGCTGGTTCAATGCCGACAACTGCCATACTTGCCGCTTGGGGTCCTGCAACAAAAACGGCCTTACATCACATACTGGAAAATTCCGCCATATCAAAGTGATCCAAAGTGTACAAGTTCAACCCACAGCATAGACTTAAGCACCCCTAATCTTGAATGCCACCAATGTTCGGAAACTCCATCCATGAATAGATGCAGTACCTACCACCAGGGTGTCCTTTGGAGAGCGTTTACCATATATCCACACAAATCCTATTTTTCAAAATGACTATATAAGGATCTATAAGGTATAAATCGTGCTTAAATCATCTTAAAGCCCTTTCTTGATGGTTAACCTCCCCATTCACTGGGTCCATGTTCAACCCCCAAACCTACTATAAGATTTAATTCTTGAGTTCTATTCATGTTTGGTATTTCCAAAAAATCAATGTATCCAACTGATCCAGTTTAGGAAGGGATCCCCCGTACGGTACGGGTACACCACGTCAAGGAGCCAGAGCGATGATTTCGAAAAGGGATCCGATGGCACCTTGGAAACCCCCAAACTGCATCTGGGATCCGATCGCCTGGCTGCCCTGCCTCATCTACCCTCCGGTTATTTAACATAGCCATGGTATAGATGGCCCATAGAAATAGATGACTTTCCCATTAAAACCTCCATTTATAAGGGATTTTCCAAGGCTATGTTAAATAACCAGATGGTAGTTACCCCTATCATAGATGATTTATGATGCTTTTGCCACAAAAAAAAAGGATACATTGCTGAAAATTCCGGTGTAGGAATCAAACTTGGCTGGAAAATTCAACCTCTTTTCTAGCTGATTTACAGAGGATTTCCGATCGCCATGTTTGATTACCGGGGGCTGCGAGGGTCCCGGTAAGCAGGAGACCACTGTGGTAGTTTCGGTGGTTTCAAATGACATGGGGCTTCCTCAATTGTGATGACATCCATGTGTTTTGTGAGATCAACATCCAGCATGCGGAACTTCGGTGTCACTCGACATTTCACCACTGGCTTCACCGCTGAATTGACCAACGTTGGATGATTTTGAGGTCCTCCCTTGTAGGACACCCTCATTTGGTTATCAACAATATCTATTATGAATATACCGTAATTACCATGTAAGCCATCCCAACCCCCCCAAAAAAAACATGTGTCCAATGTATAACAATAGTAATTTATTCCCCTTATCTTATCTCAGGAGACCAAATTGGCAAATAAATCTATATGTTTGGGCATGCCCATGACCCATGCTTACATTGTTAGGTGCGTCTCACGGCACTGTCAATGTTGCTCTCGATGAGGTTTTGCATCAGAAGCAGGTTGGTGATGCCTCAGCCCGGAACGGAACTCTGCAACCCGGCTCACTCTGAAACCTTGGAACCTGCGGTTGCAAAACTGGTTTTTCTTCCTTGGTGGTTTGTTGATCATGCTGATCCCTTGCTAACAGTTACAGTAAATAAATGGTAAACAGTGCTAAGACTAATACAAATCCAGTGTATGACTATAATCCATCCCGCTTTTGAAGGGGAAAAAAGCCGTATCCCCTGAAATGTAAAGGTTTCCATGTGCTTCCTCCGGATTTTGCCTGTAAAAAAATCTGGGTCAAGATGAGGCAGAATCTGGCTATGGACTTAAATATGCTCAAACATCTTATGTGTTCAAGATCTGTCCAAAATCCAAAACCTATACTGACATCAAAGTGTTGACCCCCTGTTCATGTTTACAGTCGCGTGTGGTCGCATCCACAGTTCATCTCAGTCTTCAAAGGCTGCGCATTGACTGGGTCCAAGTTCATGTCACAAGTAGGATTTAAAAAAGTGTACCGCTGAAATTAGTGTCTTCTTCTCATGCAAAGGTATTGAATGATACATTGAACATGTATTGATTACTGACATTACTGCCGTTACTTTCAAGTACCTCATGGTATCTTTAGACCTGAAAGAAACGGCTAAACATCTTCAATGAGTCGGCAGATTTGCTGGTGTGTCACACTTCATTGAAGAAAATTCGAGATATTTTGAGGTTCTCTCATTTTGATAGCTGGGTCAAAATTGGGTACCCCAGCAATTAGCTGGTTAATGCTAAACTTGCTAAACATTCATCCTTAAATCCGTGGTCCCTTCTAGGGCTTCAATTTTGACCCATCTCCATCTCGTTTCAGCTGTCTTTATCAGTGAAATGAAGCAAATCTAATTAATTTTATGAAAAAAAACTAGGAACGTCTTAGTCTTGAATATGATTACTCAATGATTACTCCGCATGTTCCACTCTTCATTTTGCGGTTTGCGGTTCCCCAGCATCTGCACTGCCAGCCAAGTTGCAAATCCCCAGTGTTCCTGCTCCGACCTTGTCCGGGTACAGAAGGGCCGCCTTGGAGCCAGCACGAAAGAGGGAGCCCATGGTATTAGAAGGATATCTGAGTATGGACAGTTCATTGTATCTAATGATATTTGTGGATGTTCATCCCCGCATAAATATGTATAATATATGTTATCCACCTCTATATATAAATACACATAAGGTATAATAGATGATGTCAATTTACGCCCGGTATGATCTTTTTGAGCTCCTGGTCTCTTCTGGGGATCGGCCAACGTTCGCCACCATCTCAGGCTGCGGCCACATAGGTAGTGCTGGTTAAGAAGCTCCACCTGACATATCGTGACCAAACCATGGATAGATAATGATATATGCCAAATTCATGCCATGACATACACCTAAAACAAAGGATCCATGTAGGGATAAGGTGCTAAATCCTGTCAATTGTCCCTTCAACCCACACTGGGACAAGTCATTTGGCATTTGGGAGGTGCCCTGCCGCCCGATTTATCATCTCGGTCAATGTTTTTGGGGACACTTCTGTGTGTCTGAAGGTGGGGTATATCGCGTATACCCCGCAACTTGTCCCCACATGGCAATTTTGACATAGTTGGGAAAATCATGAAATCATCAAGTCATCAAATCATCAAATCATCAAATCATTATCATCATCATCATCATCATCACCACCATCATCATCATCATCATCCTCATCATCCTCATCCTCATCATCCTCATCCTCATGATCATCATCGTCGTCGTCGTCGTCGTTGTCGTCGTCGTCACCATCGTCACCGCCATCATCACCACCATCATCATCACCACCACCATCATCACCACCATCATCATCATCAGCAGCAGCACCATGTTCAGCAGCAGCACCATTATCATCACCGGTAGCATTGTCATCATCATAGTTTCATGATCCTCATGATCGTCATGAACCAAAAGACCTTCTAGATGAATGGTACAGTAGCGGCCAGTCGAGCGCAGTCAGTGGATAGTGTGAGCCAAACTGAGCCAAGCCACAAGAACTGCACGCGATTGCCCAGCCATCGCTTCAGCACGTTGTTGCTCATCATGCACACCTGCCAGGTGTTGACTGTGGCAAAGGCTTCCACCAAACCCTCAATCTACCAGCGTCTCTGGTAAACCCAGCTGGAGAAAGCAGCGCCAAAACCAACACATTCCCGGAATTGGTAGGAAAATGTGCGCCACTGGAACAGAAGTGCACCTGCCATACCTTCCTCACTGCATGAAATCAAAGTATTTGTCCGAGGACCTGTCACAGGACTAGAGCTACGGCACCTTGAGAGTTTTGTCCACTTGAACGCACCTTAGAGCTGGCACAAGGTGGCCTTTTTCGGTCCTTTCAAAATGGGGTAAGGATCAAGACTATCTGGAACCATTGGATGCCACCTCTTGGAGCTACCAGCTGATGCTGGAACTAGGATTATACTTGTCTATCTGTGTGGTTGTTTGGGGGTCGCTATACCCTCTGGTAATTTGACATTGCTTTGGAAAACCACCATTTTTAATATGTATATAATAATAATCTATAAGTGGACATGTCAACCCCGGATTAACAAACCCTGTCGTAGGATGCTTAATTGGGGGGGTACCATTTAAGTATCAGACTATCACCTTTTGGGCAGTACCACCCTAATGAATAAACTTATGATATATATATATATGTGTGTGTGTTAAATTGATTTAAATTGCCAGAGAGTTAAAGAATATTACTCATCCAAAAGCAATAACGGCAAAATTAGCTACCATTATAATCATTAGAACATATTCATAGTTGGAGGTTTTATAGCTATTTTAGCAATGTTAAATTACCAAAGGGTTCTCTCCCCACTCAGCCTACGCACATCTCATCGGATAGACGCTTCTCATCGCCATAGGCGCGGATTGCAGCCTAAGGCAGTGGAACGCGAACGGGCCACAAATGAGAAAATCAAACCACCAAGAATGGGAAAATTTCAGACCATGATTCAATGGGATATACTATACATATCTATACATCAAACATATTCATAAAAGTATTACTGAAGATGATATAGTATGACTATGAGATAGTCATGGTTAGGATGACGGAAGACACATGAAAATCTGATCATTGTTTGGGTTCGGTAGACGATGTTGGGATGATCGCCATGTGCGTGGTTTTCGTGCGGTCGCGATTTGCAGGACTTGTTTTGGAAAGGGCGCTGAAGCCTTGGAAATCCCTCGTTGAAGTTGGCTGAAGCTGGCTTCAGGGGACAATAGGTATATAAGAGGTTTGAGAGTGTTTGATGGGTGCAAATCATTGGGGTGGAAAAATAGCAGGTCCCACAGCCAAGCTCAACGATCTCTGGATACATAAAGCCACCGCTGGACCCACAAAGAGCATCAATCTTGGTACAATATCAAGCCGTCCATGTTCTGGGAAAGTCAATTACGTTGACCCAGACCCAGATCACACTGTATAGTATATCATATCCCGTTACATCCCGTAAATTCAATATGGAGCCCAACAGCGTTTTGATCGAAGAGGAAAACCATCTTCCAGACCAAATTTCAGGGGTTAAACTTAGGGTGTGTGCACTTCCTCACATAATTTCTATGATAATATGCAAATGCATGAGCATGTTCATGTGGATAAAGCAGTATCATAAACCACCCATGACTGGGAATGGTAAACATACCCTCAACTAACATAGCTATAGAAAGATCCACCATGTTTAATGGGTAAATCCACTATTTCTATGGCCATGTTCAATAGCTATTTTGACATAACCAGAGGATAAACCTCCATTTTCCTATGGTTTTCCTATGGTTTTCCTATGGTGAAGTTGGTGATGGTTTATACCTCCACCATGGTCCTCGTCCCATGTTGCGACAAAGAACAGTGCTGGACATGACGTCAGTGACCAAGCCGTTCATGTCCTGGGAGACCATTCATGGATTCAAGGGGGGGGGTCCTATACATAAAGCCCACAGCCAATCATGATATAGTCTGATATAGTTATATAATGTTATTGTTATATAAAATATGATATTATTCAATGTTACCAAGTTAATTTAGTTGTTCGAGAGTCATAATTTCATCCTACCTATAGTATGGCGACACACCGAAAACAAAATGAAAAATCAACAGTTGGACACCTATTTTTGGGGGGAAACATCATGCTGGAAACGCTGTTCTATCTTTTTCGGGGTGACTGTACATGAAACCACGGCTTTCACTCCCAACTCATAGGGTTTTTCCAGTTTGATTTTTCATAGATGAACATAGGGACCCCTATTAACTGTCATCCATGCAAGTCGCCTTCCCGGGGGTCAAGTGGTATAAGCACTGATCAGCCCAACTGATATGCGTGAAGCCTCATCATTCAAATCCACATGTTGTTTCGGAGGTTCCATGTCATAGTTTTTGCCAAAACCCATTTGAGCGTTTCTTAGACTCTTTAAAGTCTCTCTCCCCATCCCCGTCTCATCATTAGTTCTTACATACAAGGACCAATTAATTGGGATGAGACTCTCTCTCTCTCTCTCTCGCTCCGTTTCCTTAGGAAACCAGCTGTCCTTCTGTTGATTTTACCATCTGGTTATGACATTCACAGTTTGCCATGGAAAGATTCACCATGCTACTAATAGGTATAAACCAGGTAAACCAGGTAAACCATCTATTTCTATGGGCCATTTCCCATGGCATATTAATAGGTAAACCGGTAAACCATCTATTTCGATTAGGGCCATCGAAATCCCATGGCTATGTCAGCCATAACCGTCGGGATCCCCACCGATTTGGCGGAGGCGAAGCAATACCGCATTGGCCTCGCCACGGAAGAACACGCTGGGGGACACCCGTTGGGCCCGTGGTGATCTTGCTGGGAAAAAAGAAGGTTCCAAGATGTTCCAAGTATACCCATGGTTTTTCAAACCTTTTTGTGTGAGTGATTGTTTGTCGGATTTTCCAGATAGACTGCGTCAATGTTTGGGTGCAATATGGGCGCAATACCTGTAACATCCTGCAACTATATATCATGTAAATATGCCACACGTCAAACATATGGGGTAAGTAAGCCTCAATCCGCGCAATGGAGGAAAAACTAACCACAATGATCCAACATGGTATGTTTCCAACATGGGGACTGCTTTCAGAAAGCGGCTGCGTGCCGAAGCAACTGCTGTTGCGCTCTCCTTCGTTCCTTTGGATACCAACTTTGAAGCCTCTTGGATGAATATGAGATTGGGATATTTGGGATATAGATTCAGGGAGCACAACCGGCACAAGCCTCCTAAGGAGTCAGGTATGGCAAGCCTCCTGGGCATTCCACTCCCCACTTCCGATTTGCCCAGGGACACTGAGGTGTTGCGGTACCGCTCGTAGATGCAGACGATGATGTAGTAGAGCGGCAGGGCCCTACAGGAGGGGATAGTTTTCTAGGGCCGACTCCAAGAGGAAAACTTGGGGGATCCCAAGCCCCTGAAAGAAATCAATAGCACCGCTGTGCCTGGTTGGCACAGAGAACCAGCATTTCCATGATCAGAATGCAGTCTTACTGAGTCTTACTGCTTAAGCTGTAGTTTTTTGTTGATGAATCCCTTACTAAACCATCTGGTTATTGAACAGTTTGCCATGGAAAGATTCACCATGCTATTAAGAACGGTAAACCATGCTATTTCCATTAGGGCCATGGCTTAATCCCATGGCGAACTGTCAGCCATAACCAGAGACTGAGCCCCAAACATCACCGTGATCATTGCAGGCACCATGGTGTGCACCTCGGACGGACCAAAAAAGGGGCTGAAAGAACGTTGAACTGCGTAAAAACGAATTATATCATACACACATATAATATATATATAATATATGTATAATTATATATAGACATCATATAGAGCTTCAATTAGAAGGATAGCCCGGAACAGACTTGATGTTTGTTTACTGTGATGCTGAGTGTGAAAAACCCACCGAAGTCAGCGGCTTAACCCGCCATTTTCAGCCAAGATGCGTAGATCAATGGCACCACGGTACCGAGGATCACTGTGATGGTCAAAAGGGTCTTGGCGTAAAGTGACATGTCCACGCTGGCCCTTGGTGGCTTGGTGGGCAAAGGGGGCCAACAATGAGGAGACGACGGAGTCAGATGGGCAAGTAATAAAAAACACTGAAAATGTGATTCACTGTTACATATATTATATTATGAATCATACGTATATGTATATGATTCATATATGATTGTATATATAATCGCATATATATATGCATACATATCGAGATGATTTGCTGTATCAAGCTGTGAAAACTTCTCCTAAAACCGGGTGGGATTACGATTTTGTCGTGCGGGCTTCTTTTGGGGTATTTACCGGGGAAGGGATCCAAAAGAAAAATGGCAACACACAAAGAAAAAAACATGTATAATATACCCTGGAAGTCGGGGACCTCTTCTTTTGGGGTCCTCGGAATTGCTTTGAACTAGGACCTCAAAAGTCCATCCTCGGCAATACTTCACAACCATCACTTTTGGGGTCCCGGACCCTAAAAGAAATGACCACTCAGGATCCCAAATCTTGCTGCTCTTGGCTTATTTGAGCGGTTGACCATGGCCGCAATATGATATATATATATAATATCATGATATATCCAAAATCTGTGAATTCGACTGGACAGAACTTTTTGAAATGAAATTGTTGGGTGCTCCAATTGCTTTGATTAGGCTATCCAATTGGGTTACTGGGATGCATGTTCTTTTCTATCATTGCCAATGCTAAGAAAACACAGGACCATGTATTGGCAGGAATGATGATTAACCGGTTAATATTTACCAAAATTTGAAGCCGAGAGAAATCGAGAGAAATCGAGAGAAGTCGAGAGCGGGTGCTATGTAGGACCCTAAAAGTTCACTCGGAGACCCTAAAAGTTCACTCGGAGACCCTAAAAGTTCACTCGGAGACCCTAAAAGTTCACTCGGAGACCCTAAAAGTCAACTCGGCAGCCATAGAAAATCGAGAGAAGTCGAGAGTAGTGATTTTCAAACCCATGTCAAATCATCACTTTTTGGAAGTACTCTGACGGTCCATTATCTACACAACATGCATTGCTTAGGGATGATGTGCTCAGATTTTTCTACTGCGCCTGGGTTGCATACCTTCAGCCTGACTGATATGGAAAAGCTAAATGCCCAGGCGCAAAAGCGTCACCAGTAAGCTTGGATGCCAAAATTCGAGAGGAAAATCAATAGCTGCTGGAAGTTCAATGGGGTTGGAAGTTTTGAGATGTTATGATTACTCGGCGCCTCGGCGCGTGGATTCTCGGCATTGTTAGGGATCGCTCGGCGAAATTGACTTTTGGGGTCCCCTCGGCAAGGACCTCTTCTTTTAAGGCCTTTTGACTTTGAGGGATATATATATATATATAATTTATATATAATCATTTATACTTGTTACTTATGTGTTCATATTGTGTTCATATATTACTACGTTATTAGTTACCAACTATTGGCGCTGATATGTACATTTATGAACATACACGCTGTATATAGTTAGTGTAAACTCTGGGAACCCTCCATGAGACTCAGATCTTTCCAATACATCAGCCGTCAGCCGTCCATCTGTCAAACTTCAAGCATTTTTGCTGACCCATCAATGCCTACTGAGAAACGACGACTCATTCATGAAGTATGTTTTCATACATCCAAAAAACATGAGTTCACTCAATTCATTCTGATTCTCCAGCCCAAATTGTTTTTGGGGCGGAAGGGCTTGCTTCCTTTCTGTCCTTCTCCTTCACCATCCTTCACCCATGACAACGTCCAGTTCGGAACGAGGGTCAAATCACCCACCAAACGGCTCATGATGCGACCCACCGGCTGCTTATCCTTGGCCAAGAACCCTTGGACAAAGTAACGGGCCTCTCATGAAGGAATCTCGGATGCAGGCAGTACGACATTGACTCTATGTGTCCGCATTTAGTTATCGAAATGCATAATGTTCACACACACTGCCGCACACACATAGCATAGCATATATATATATTATATGTGTGTATGTTTTTTGTTTTTCAATTTCTGTATATAAATACATTACATATATATATATATAACGATTATATGGATGTGCGCAAGACTGTATGGACAATAATTATGCATCAATGGGTGAATTGGTGTGTGTGTGTGTGCGAGCATGGGCTAACAGTAAATTGCAGAATTGGACAGGGGGGAAAAACACGTTGGCCATCAATATGTTCGCATGGCTATTTTGTCTATTTTTCCGCGATTGCCAATCCATCAAACGCTCTCCCTCTCTCTATCACCCTCTCTAAGACAATCCAAGTCTGCATCCATCTACCTGTTTCTTTCAAATATCAACTCAAAAACGTGATGGTCCCCACATATTTAGACACAGGCCAAATATGAGTAGGACATGTTGGTCAGCTCCAGAGCTATATATATATATAGTGTTTTGATGTGATTTCCCAATCCTATTTTGGGATATGCAAGTTGGGCCTCTACCACCTATAAAGGTACCCATACCATGTGCCAAGACTCAAAGAAGCGATCAACAGGTGCTCGCAACAACCTGTGGATCGCAACAGGGCCTCTACCACCGGAATCATTCATGGCGATTCAACCAGCCAAAAGTGACACCCCAAGATTACCCTCTGGTAATTTAACATAGCTATTGAAAATGGCCATTTATAGTGGATTTTCCCATTAAAAATGGTGATTTTCCATAGCTATGTTAGTTTACCAGAGGGTAAGAATGGCTTCTTCAGTTCAGCCACCAACAACCAGTGACTAAGTTCACATAAAAATTGACCATCGAATCTACGATGGGAGTGTCACTTTTGGCTGGTTGTTTGTTCCAGAGTACGACGACAAAAAGGCCGCCCAAGAAAGAGTTAGGACTCCTGGAAGACCTTTGAAGTGAAACATCCAACTCGAACTACATGTTGAAAAAGAAGGCTTTAAGAATATAGGGTTCTAACCAACAAGACCCAACCAGGAATTCATAGGAATTCACTATAGGACCCCCCCCTCAAATAGACGGAAAACCTGGAAACCTGAAAAATATGGAAGAAACACACTATAACATATACTGTATTGCATAAATATATATATATAATATTATGTGGGATCAGGACCCTTCACCCAGTTGACAAACCGCTTTTCTTTCGTGGCATTGCAGGCATGTGTCAGTGAAAAACGTAGCCCGACGTTTTTATGGCTACATCATACTACATCCAATGTTCGGAGACAAAACATGACAAAACACAGGTATACGGTATGCGGTATACTTATGCACTAAATGCATGTGTGCATGCATCTATGCTCGCGCAGAGCATTGCAAAGCTATGTAGGGCTGCAGCCAGGCATACCATCGCCACACTGGGCTGCATGCAGCTGACCCAAAAGTTGAATGATCATCTCACTCTCCGATGGTTTCAACGTATTTCAACCCATTTTCCAAAAAAATATGAGTCAATTTGGAACATCATCCTAAATAAGGTGAACAATGGTGAACAACTTAACTAAACAGTTAGGATTTGAAACTACCAACCAGTCAGCCAGTGATGATCCATTGGGTTATACCCAATCCTGCATCATCTGGGGCCACTACTCCTGGATAATCTCATGGCAAACGGTTTGCCCAATTTACACAGTTTTATTGATCAAGAAAATACTGGGGTCTGGAGAATTACAAGGTGTTTGAGTCTCAACCATATTGAATTCAAATCAAACATGCATCAAGTACAGGCAATTTTGGAAAACTGGTAAACATGCAGATTTCATTGGCAAATTGAGGGCCAACAAACATCAAACCATAGATTGCATAGATATCAGGGCTGCTCGTGCCGAAACTCAGCCAAATTCATCCAAATTCCCAAGGTTTCATCTCCTGTCCCCCAGTTTCGGGACCTGGCCACGCGGTGAAACAGCATTATAGCTGCAGTTGTGCTACTGGTCCACTGCATCATGAGAAAAGCAGGCAACCCCATGGTGCCTTCTGACACTTGCGATTGCTTTCCAGGAATCCAGTAGAGTCATTGACGAATCTTGGCAAAAACATTAATGTGGTAAACTGGTAAACCCAACAATGAAACATCCCCAACATCACCACAACTGGGTTGTAGGTTTACCATCCCAAAATGGTCGGTTTAGTATTGGGTTTGCCACTGTAGTCAATTGCAATGTCAACATGTTAAAACATCTGCGAGGCTGTCCGTTGACATCCGTTGACATCCGTTGACTGTAGGTTTCCATGTTGCATAGTTCCTTGCTTGGTACTCCCCAAGGGCCACAAGCCAGTGCGCGTAAGTGGACAACTGGATCCGGTGAGATTTTGTTATATAGGTAATTGACCCGTAGTGAGGCATACTTAAAGACACACATTCCTTGACTCCCTGGTCTATTTGGGTTTGCTTGCCAGTAAATGTGTATCATTTCTTCCCATTGAGATTGCATGCCTTTAGGCATGCAATCCTTTAGGTACTACACCATGTTTGGACATACCCAAATCATTTTTTTGGGGGTTCACCATGGTTCACCATTACATAGCCATTACATGCCCTTTTTCTGAGTGCATTTTGCTACCCTTGATGCCATGGAGGAAGGGCTCACTCGTAGAAGAGCAGTTCCTGAGACATCGGACGAACTTTGGCGGTGCATTTGGCGTTACAAAAAGATCGTTGCAGGAAAGAAAAATATGGCAACCCAAAAATTGATAGAACAGCGATATTCTGCTTGAATAGTGGTGAACTACGTTTCTATCTTTTTTTGGAGGCGTGTATAGGTGCATATGTATATATATATATATATGTATATATCAAAATTACATATACTGTAAAAACAAAATAAAATATCATATAAAATATAAACATAATATAACATAATATAATACAATATTCTAATGCAATATACCAAAACATTAAATTTATAAACGGAAAACAACGATTTATATGTGTATATATATATAAATAATACAACGTAACAACATATGATATAAAATAAAATCAATATATATATATAACATCGTATAACATCACAAAATAGAAAACAAAACATAATATCATGTGATATAATAAAATATAATAACCTATAAACATATATATATATAATAAAAATAAACTATAATAACAAATGAAAATAATATCATGAGTAAAATCAAATATAATAATCTATAATAAAGTATAATAAAATAAAACACCATAGAATAAAACAAATATAATATGATGAATATATATATATATGTGCCAAACCCACCAGTTGCAAATCAGTTCCGGGGTGACCAACCATCATTTATCTATCCGCTTATATCATCTTATATTCCCAAATGTTGATGGTTAAAAGCCGATTAAATGACGAACTAATCATGAACCAACATGATCTAAAGCTATCTAAGGTGCCAGTTCGAAGGAATTGCTGGCTTCCTCCATGAACTTCACAAGCTCAGGGCCTCCGCCCTTCTTGCCGTCCACACTCCTCGGCGGTTTCAGCGGAGGCCCCATACAGCCCCATACATATCCTACATATTGTTCACTTTGAATATATATATATATAATATATATATATAATTATATATATATGTCTACATCTAAATAAATAAATATATACAGTATATATATATATATATATTCACTAGAAGTTATTATACTAGAAATGGGCAAGTCTCTGTACATATCATTATTATTATCATTATTATCATTATTATTATTATCATTTTTGTTATTATATGTGACTGTGTGTGTGGGCCTGTCCAACAATGGGTCTTGTCATAGGGAAGATTCAATGACTAACCGGTGGATGGAATGGAGTACCAGTACCGTATGTCAGACAAACCCATAAAGCATGTTAATGGGATATGGATCTGTGTAAATTATAGCTGAACCCAGGTTGCTAGATAGATATAGATAGATAAATAACTAAACTCCGATTCGAATCTGAAACTAGTGCTAACAAACGTATATGATATGTATCTTTTCCAGGAGCTAGTTAACAGTTAACAGTTGCTATGTACGAGATAAGGAGACAAGAAAGGCCACAAACAGCTATACTAAAACAAACCAAGTTCTGAGGGATATGAAATGTCGATATTTCTTCAGCCAATCAGCCATAAACCTACCGACTTGGGAGTCGACCCCTCATGGATCATCATGGTGCAGGCATAGACCCAAGTCTTTGGGTTGCAATTGATGGATTCAAGGGAACATCTACAGGAAACACCTACACGAAACACATGGAAGCATGAGGTGTTTGAGAGGTGCATTAATTAAGGGTGTCCTATGTTTTCTTCCGTCCTGTGCTGGGATTTTTGTTCATCAAAAACCTTCAGTGCAGTTGATCTGAGGGGCCGAGGACCTGCAACATCGGATGGTCGTTGCTGACTTGGTCATGGACACCATGCCAAATTGATCCCAGCATGCTTCAATGCTTCACTTGATACCCTTTATATTAAGTTGCACATGGCGTGCAAAGGCACGCCAGGTGCGGCCCCTCCGGTAATACCCAACTATACATACGGACTATTGACTATTGCTCTAGACTCCGCCACAACTGGTTTTTAGTTCCCTTTTTGGGAGTTACAAATGCATTCCATAAAATCAGGTGTCCTAAAGTGTGGGTACCCCCAACTCATCCAAAATTAGACCATTTGAGTCTTGAAGCCCATGGTTCTGGCGATCCAAACCATCACCCCTCACAATTTTTGTTCATCCCAAGGGGCACGATCCGTGCAGGCATCCTCAAAACATCTTCGGGCCGAGCTGAAGCGTTGTGGTCTTTGAAAACACCATCCTCAGTGGACAGGTGGATCTGGAGTGGATCCTGTGGAGTGGAACCTCTGTTCTGGTTAAACATGGGAGTTAGGAAATCACATAAGAAATCACCAGGTTTAAGAGATAAATCATCTGAAACTGGGCCATTTTCCATGGTTATCTTATGTTATCTTTGTTGGTTTGCTGGAGGGCACCCTCCCAAAAATCAATAGATGGGAGGAATCTAGCACGGGCTGCCTGGGCGACCAAGCATCCAGGCTGTTGTAAACCGTGTTCAAGCATGATCCAGCCGTCAAGTAAATCTCAGCAAATCTATTGCAATATATGTATACTGTGTCTCAAATTAGGTGAGTCCGTGATTGACCTCATAGGATTTTAATGTGCTCTGCAATTTGTTGGGTGAAAATTACGGTTCAACCTGTTTGATCTTTTTCAACCTGTGGCTTCAGCATTTGCAGCATGGCCAGGATAGGTACTAACCTAGGATCTTGGCGTATATATATATATATACATACACACACACATATATATATATATACACATATATATTATATAACCAGGAATCCAGGAATTGTGGATATACGAGTGCCTGGGGTATCCCAGGGTTATATACCGTTACAAAGTAATATAAATATAGGTCATGTCACGCCGAATGGAATATTGCCGGAAAGCAAAGCAGCAACAACAGCAACAACAACAGCAACAACAACGACGACAACGACAACGACAACAGCAACAATTCACACACAAACAACACAAATAACAACAAGAAGAACAAAAATAATAAAAATAAGAAAACAAAGAAGAAACATAATAACAAGAAACATAAGAAAAACAACCAGAAGAAACACAAAAAGAACAAGACGAACAAGAATAAAAAACAAAAAAAAACAACCAACCAAACAAACAAACAACCAACAAACAAAACCGAATAAAACCGAACAAAACCACACAAACCCTGACAACACCAACACCCAACAACCAACAACACCCAACAACACCCAACAGCACCCAACAACACCCAACAACACCCAACAACACCCAACAACACCCAACAACACCCAACAGCACCCAACAACACCCAACAAAACCCAACAACACCCAACAACACTCAACAACACTCAACAACACTCAACAACACTCAACAACACTCAACAACACTCAACAACACCCAACAACACCCAACAACACCCAACAACACCCAACAACAACCACACAACACCCAACAACACCCAACAACGCCCAACAGCACCCAACAAAACTCAAAAACACCCAACAACAAACAACAACACTCAGCAACACTCAACAACACTTATGACCCCGTGTAGAACAGAGAAAGTGGATCTTAGCAAAAAAATAAAAAACAAAAACAAAAACAAAAACAGAATCACCAAAAAAACAAATCGACAGGAAGAATCACCAAAAGAAACCAAAAAACCCAAGAAAAAAAAGAAAAACAAAACCTGCATTTTCCGCAGTTTTTTTTTGTTCTGTTTCTTTTTTTTTCTTGTGTTTTCCTTGGTTTTGGCTTTCTACTTTGTTTTTTTTTGTTTGCTCTGGTTTTGTTTGGATTTTTTGTGTGTGTTTTTTTTTTAAAAATATTTTTTGTCAAACCCTATATTCTCTGTGTTGTTGGACTCATAAAACAACACTCAACAACACTCAACAACACCCAGCAACACTCAACAACACCCAACAACACTCAACAAAACTCAACAAAACTCAACAACAACCACACAACACCCAACAACACCCAACAACACCCAACAGCACCCAACAGCACCCAACAAAACTCAACAACACCCAACAACACTCAACAACACTCAGCAACACTCAGCAACACTCAACAACACTCAACAACACTCAACAACACTCAACAACACTCAACAACACTCAACAACACTCAACAACACTCAACAACACTCAACAACACTCAACAACACTCAACAACACTCAACAAAACTCAACAAAACTCAGCAAAACTCAATAAAGCTCAACAAAGCTCAACAAAGCTCAACAAAGCTCAACAAAGCTCAACAAAGCTCAACAAAGCTCAACAACAACAACAGCAACAGCAACAGCAACAACAACAACAACAGCAACAACAACAACAACAGCAACAACAGAAACAACAGCAACAACAGCAACAACAGCAACAGCAGCAACAGCAGCAACAGCAACAACAGCAACAACAACAGCAACAACAGCAACAACAGCAACAGCAGCAACAGCAGCAACAGCAGCAACAACAGCAACAGCAGCAACAGCAGCAACAGCAGCAACAACAACAACAGCAACAACAGCAACAACCAACCAAGCAAGCAAGCAAGCAACCAACCAGCCAACCAGCCAACCAGCCAACCACCAACAGCCAACAACCAGCAACCAGCAACCACCAACCACCAACCAACAACCAACAACAACAAAACAAAAAACAAACAAAACGGCAACAGCAACAGCAACAACAACAACAATCGCAACAAAACCAGCAACAACAACAACAACAACGACAACAACGACAACAACGACAACAACCACAACCACAACAGCAAGATCAAGAATAACAAGAACAGAAACAAGAACAAACACAAGAACAAGAGCAAAAAGAAGAACAAGAAGAAGCAACTACAAAAAACAACTACAAACAACTACAACAACTTGTTACAACAAGAACAGCAGAAAGAACAATACATGCATATTTATATATATATATATACTTATCCTGTAGGTTCCTATAGCTCCTACTGAATACCCAATCCGAAAACATACCACTTATCACATGCCGTGCATCAGAGATGTTGGTGACCAAAAGGAAGGTGCTGCCGTCGATCTTCGAAATACCAAGCTGGTCCACGGTCTTTTCCACGACCACCTGACGGTGCCAAGGCATCCTCTTGAGGTGAGACAACCGGAATTGACGGGTGAGAAAAAAAGCACAATGGGGATGCTATCATTTGGGTGCCAAGAAAAGGGGCATATCTCGAAATGGCAATCTGAATAAAGATATATTATATATATACACACACTGCATGTATGTAAGGATTATAAATCGTAAAACGAAGGGTCTACCCACATGTTGAAATGGCGGACTTCTGACCCTTACCTTGAAAGGTCTATGATACTATGACATGATTCAAATGGATGGTTTTTAGTATCCTTATGAAACATGGGTGCGTCTGATATTCTCTACCCACCATTGCTGCAACACATGATTTTTCTGGAACAGAGCGCCAGCCAATCCAAGGTCATGAAACGGTGCCACGTGGCACCGGCAGCCCATGTTTCGCCGTTTCGCCCGGGCTGCCTTGTGAATGAAAGGTCGCTGCACCAGAATGGAGATGGATCCGTGAGTATTTCTCAGCATCTCCTTGGGACTGAGGGAGAAATGATGATCCGAATAAAGACCATCACTGATGGCACAGATTCATGGAACAAAGGGGGTTAACATATGTTAACATGACTTAAGCTTTGATTTAACATAGCGGCAATTTTGGGCCACTTCTAGATGATTTGCCAATTTTTGCTTATTGTCGTCTTATGATGTTTTTTTTTTAAATAGCCCATGCTAAATTCCCAGTGGGTAACGCCTGTGTAAACAACGCTTTATCCAGCGATGCTTCACTTGGCCAAGATTGGCCGAGTGTCCATGACTTCCTTCCCTTTCTGCGGTGCTTCCTTCCCATTAAAGGACAGGAGCCGGTCAAAGGGTCGAATGATGCCTGAGCTGCGGCTGGAAATATGTGAAATTTCGACCACCAAAGCAGCAACCAATTCAAGGTGGCAAAGGTTGTTTTTCCGAGAATGTGATGATCACTTGGACCCAACAACCAGTAGATGTCATACTACAGTAATCCTGCATTGAGTAGTATACCCTGGCTGATTAATTTGGGGGGTCCATCCACCAAAAAGTGATACATGGCAACACCACCCAACTGAACGACCCAACTGGGTGAATTCATGCCGGGGAAACGCATCCCCTATTGGTTCAGTGGCCCTTTGAGGCATCTAAATTGGAGGTACCTACCATATATAATAAGGCCTGTGTAAGGGCTATGCAAATGGATATACTCCAAAAATAAATAAAAATAAGGCTTTACATGGTACAGTACCTCCAGTTTAGGTCCTGAAATGGCCATTTATTGGTAGGATCATATTAATTTTGGAGTACTAAAACGCTCCATCAAGTCGACCCAGATCGTAGGGGCCAAGCATCTCAACATATCTCCACATATCTCAACACAACTCACTGGTGATGGGGAACCCCTTGTTTCTGCCAGGAAAAGTGGCAGGAAAACGGGCCAGAGACATGGGCCAAATTGGGCCGCCTTGCGGCCAAGGGGCGTTCCGAGTCGCCCTTCTCCTGGAGTGCTTTGTTCAAATCTGCGACAAGGCTATCGTCTTGGACGGAATTCACCATACATACCTGCCACCATGGCCCCCATGGCCCCATGGCTACATGCCCTATCCGGGGAGGTGTGTCGGAAGATTCTGGTATGGATAAACATGACAATTTCATATGAAAAAGCATGATAACCCATGGGATATCACGGGATTCTCCGGGTGTACGTGGGTGTATCCAACTTTCAGACAAATCCAAATCAAACTGCACCACGTCCAAATGGTGACTAGCAGGTCACTGGCATTCATGTGACTGGCTTGCTGCTTCCCGGAAATTGCATTTCTGGCCTAAACCTGATAGAATCTGACAGGACAGTCGGACACAAATTGGTGCAAGTGGGCATGTGAAACAATAGGAACATCACGTTGCTTAAAACCGTCGGAGATGAGAAGGGACCAGGAGAGCAACGGGCCTTTCCCGCAGCGGACACGTCCAGTCCATATTTGCGCGTCTCATCGCGCAGGAGGTCCACCTTCTCTTCTTTAGATGGGCATAGGATAGATCACGTATCCATGTTTTCTCACTATGGATATGGTTTATGGTAGATATGATATGCTATGATATGTCTATAGTCAATAAGATGGGTTATAAGCTAAGTGTTTGTCTTGTTATTGAGACAACATATATTATATATAATTATATATATACATATATTTACAAGTATGTACAGTATTTATACATACAGCAGACTCAACTTCAAACAGAAAGTAATCAATTCTGGTTCGAAAATAGTGGCAAATTGAACTTGTTCTCTATCTGTTTGGGGGCTACTATAGCTTATCCTCGAGCAGATACAGTATGGAAATGTCAAAGAAACCGTCATAGTTTTTCCCAAGTCAAACGGCAGGAAAAGGTCAAACCAAACACTATTTTAGTAAGTTGGATTTTGCAACTATGTGCATATATATATATATATATGTACAGTATATAAACTTGGGTATTGATTGGACAAATCATCTACATTGTGTATATTATATTATATCAATCTTATATTATATTGATATCATATTGATATTAAATTAAAATGTTATTATATTAATATTATATTATATGTGTTTATTAAATTAATTATATTATATTATCAGTTAATAAATGAGATTAAGGATTAATGTTCAGGGAACATATGGGGATTGAAATGGATTTGACCAACACAAAACTTGCAAATCTAGGGTTTAACCAACAGAAGCTTGGGACGTTGAGTGAAATGCTTCCCACAAGTATGGTGTTTCAATGGTTTGATTGAAGCGAAACTATCGGCATTTAAGCAACTAAACTGTAGATGCCACCAGCCAAAATGGTTGAGATATGGACACTTTGGAACGCCAGCACTCTGGGGAGGGTCTCCTCGTTGAATGTTTGGGTTGAATGGAATCTATGCAGAATATATTGGGGTAATGATCAATGATGGGGTAGTGTATAATGATGGTCAACAAATGATATTATCATCGGGATAGACTGGGATGCTAATGAGGAAACCAGCCATAGTGAGGTTTCAATGGATTGGTGGACCCGGGAACAGCTGGAAACTGGAAACCGACTGGTTTCCCCAAACCTAAGGGCATTCCGCAAAATCTCCCTTCAACTATCCGTTGGAATACACAAATCATCTTAAGTAATTTGAATCATATTGGGAGGTAAATCATCGTCTGATCATGTTTCATTCCCAATGGTTTTGGGATATATCAACCATCTCAAGTCACACCTAGTTTGACAATGTTGTAGCTCAATTCATATCTACCACGTCTCATGATTCAAGCTCCAGTTGTGACTGATAAAACGTGATATCATGCACTACACTGCTACAACCGCCCCCTCTCCCAAAAGAAACACACAACTTCTTCATCTCTAGTTGTCCGAAAAAACGTGGGACCCAACATTTCCCATGGTTCTTACTGCAATCACTTTAAAATTGCGTAAATGTTCCTCTGCGAAGATGTTTCCCCCTGCGAGTTCACCCAAAATCATCCAAAATGGCCTTGCCCTGCAAAAAAAACAATTCAACTGGTCAACTGGTATACTCACCAAATTTAATGCGCGTGGTGCGTTGTAGGGGGTTTAGATTAGGAGTGGTTTGTTTTTTTGGGGTTCTGTATTTGGATCATTATGTCTCAAAAAAAATGTTTAAAATTACAGTAAGGGCACACACGTATGTTGTATGAAACTCTCCAGTTTTGAGTTGGTGTTTACAGTCGGTTTCCCTCATTAAACCCTATTCAAACACCACTAAAACCCATGAAACCAACGTTCGTCCAATCAAAATCCATTATAGCCCCATAAAAAATGGTGAAGAATAGGTTTAGTGTTTTTCATATGGTTTGTTTTGTTTTTGCATTTCTTTCCTGGTGCCATTCACCTTGTATCTGCAACAGTTTGGAAAAGGAGCCGGTTATTTTTTGCATGATATTTGCATGTATTTGCTACATTCTGGCATGTTCACCTTCCATTTTGAACGGTGTTTGCTATATATTTGGCACCTCAACCTCTCATTTTGTATGGTGTTTGCTACATCTTGGTATATACTTCAAACGTTCATGACCTCTCATTTTGCATGGTATTTGCTACATGTTGGTACTTCAAACGTTCATGTGGGTTTCTTTAGGGTGCTAGTTTGGGTATCTATAGGGTTACTTTAGAGTTTCATTCAGGGTTTCTTGTGGGTTTTATTTAAGGTTTCACTTGGATTCACTTGGGGGTTCTTATTAGGGTGTTTTTGGGTTTCATCTAGGGTTTCTCTAGGACTTCATTAAGGATGCAAGCAGGAGAGAATAAGGCAAAAGGGAAAGAAAAGCAAAGAGACAGTAAAGAAGGAAGCAAAGAAGCGAAGGAGCAGGAAGAAGCAGAGCAGCAAAAACGCATGACTGCAGCACAAGAAAAAGCAGTACTGCAGTAGAAAGGCACGGAGGAAAAAGAACAGAAAAACAGAGAAGCAGGAAAAGCAAAAAGCGGAAAAGCAGATAAGCAGAAAGAGCAAAGAAGCAGAAAAGCAACAAAAACGGAAAAGCATGAACAGCAGAAAAGCAGAGAAGCAGGAAAAACAGGAATCAAGAATAAAATTATGTCCACCAGACCATAGCTTATTCCAACTTTTTTAAAACTTGAAGAAAAAAACGCAACAAAAGCAAAAAAAACAAGGAACAAACAAAAAGCAAATCAGCAAAATCCAAAAAACACAGAAGCAAAATAAAAGAGAAAAAAGGGAAACATGAAAAAAAAGGAAAGTCAAAAAGGGGAAAAAATGGGGAAACAATGGACTAACTTGTCCATTTGCATTTTTTTGCTTTTATTTTGCTTTTTCGATTTGCTTTTTTTTGCTTTGATTTTGTTTTTTTTGTTTGTTTTTTTCCAGGCAAAAAGCAAAAACAAAAGCAACCTAAAAGCAAAAAAAGAAAATTGAAAAAGCAAAATAAATGCAAAGAAAATGCAAATGGACAAATCCATGTTTTCCAATGTTTCCCCTTTTTGACGTTCCTTTTTTTCCCCATTTGTTTTGCTTCCGATTTTTTTTAGTTTAGAAGTTTTGCTTTTTGATTTTCCATGTGTTTTCCTTTTTTTTGCATGTTTTTCAAGTTAAAATCATTAGAATAAGCTATAGAGGTAAACATAAGAATAAAAATGAACCTTATCAAACAACAAAATCCTAAACTATCCTAAACTACATAGCCTTCCCATTCAAAAGATAGTTGCCCATGTTGGTTCCGCTATCTCCATATAGATAATAGTGAACGCACATATTTCCCCGTGTCACCATGTTCCCATGTCAGCACAATCACCATGAACTTCCCATGAAACACTATGAAACAAGCGTATTCAATCCCCATGTCATCCATGTTCAATCATCATTTCTATCAGGTTTTCATATTTGGAGGTTTCCTGAAAGTTTGGGGATCCAAGGGGATCCCCAAGACTTGAAGAATCCTCCAATTTGTTCATCCCCACCTGAAAGGTCTTCGCCTTGCGTGTGGGGCCCAGTGTGGGGCTGCCAATGGCGGCTTTGCTGATCGGTGCTGCATCGTCCCGGTCCCGGACGGCTGGGAGCACCATCTCCGACTCCGCTGATTCGGCGCAGCAGAAACATCTCATGGTGACGGTGCTGGGCTGGGAGTCAGATGTTCTTTAAAAGCAACCCCCAAAGTGACATAGAAATCATAGAAGCAAGAATCATCAGAAAGTCAAAGTCCTAAATTTAGTAGTGAACTCATATAATTAGGAAATTCAAAAAAGTTGGCATGTTTTTTTTTGGGGGGGGGTGGGTTACATATGTATGCGGATCCTTTACATAACAACGTGTTGGTTGGATCACATGTTCGAGGCAGCGAATCCTCACCTTGACTAAGAGATCGAACTCATCCAACTTTTCTCCACACTGACCCAGGTGTCTGAGCCACGAAGCCGATGGGGGACTGTCCAAAGGCCAACCACTTCACTGGTTCTATGGGCTTCAAACTGAAAAGTGCTATTTCCAAACCCTGAAGTCATGTGACACAAGGCCCTAAAAAATGCCTGAAGGGTTGTTGAGCCACCACATGATGAAGTCGTTATTTAGATTGGGTGTCATCAGGAATTCACTGGGGATCGCCACCAACCACGTCCTTATATGGATCGAAAGGAACAACACGATGGAAACTGCAGGAGAGATTCATGTCTAGCCACTGAGAACCCAGTGTATGTCAATGTACATCCGTCAAATCTACCGGAATCAAAGCAGAAGTAGCCCCATTTTCTTGAAGACGCACAAATTTCCTCAAATTTCCCGAGGCTCCCTGGCTTGTGAATCACCCGGTCGTGGATGGCAGCCGACAAGCGCATGGTGAATGCCCTGACGTTGATGGAGGGCAACTTTAGTGCTGTGACTGTGGGGCTGCGGACTGATGCAGGTGTGGTTCATAGAGGTGCGTTTGTCCAGGCATGGGGTCAACCCCAAATCTTGCCATTTCAATGGGGGAAAATGGTTCCAAAATATGGCAACGGCTCAAAATTGAGACATCAGTTAAATTTTCTGGCATTGAGAATTCAATATCCAATATATAATTGTGTGGGTACATCAATGCAGCTCAAACTTTCTTCACCGCAGAGCATGTTTTAAAGGTTCATGAGGAGATTGGTAGCCCAAACTTTAACTGGTTGGTGGTTTCAACCCCTCTGAAAAATATTAGTCAGATTGGATCATCATCCCAACTATTGGGGAAAATAAAATTCATGTTCCAAACCACCAACCAGTTAATATAGAACCCGAAAATTTCGGTCCCAAAGAATGTTTTGACCCATCCCAGCTGGCTCTGGGCCGCCCTGCTGCCCTTGGCGCCAGCCCATCACCCAGAAACTCAAGGACATGCCCAGCCAGAACCTGGCTCTAGTGACTCTATGACTTCTTTCTGAAGAAACTAAACTGACAAGGGGGGTTTCTTAAGGGGGGTTACATGGTCTACTGTACCCCGGCGATATGCTGACTTTGAAACTCAACCTCTCGAAATGGTACTAGCCTCCTAACATCGTCCAATGATGGGGGTCCTGTCGGTTGCTGACGAACAGTCCTCTGGGATCCCCAGGCAAATATGCAGAAAGATAGGGCCGGGCTGAAGCCTCGCCGAGGGACAAAAGAGGGATGGATGGAATGATGAGGGACACTTTAAAAACTGAGGGCAATATATATATATATATATGTCACACACACACATATTATGTATCAAATTATGTTTTAAGTAGCGTATCAACACATATTAACTAGATTATTATATGATTGATGATGATTAAACGCAGTAATTGCGTTTTAAGTTAGTAACACAGCACACAAACATATGTTATGTGTCAGAATGGGGAGCCCAGGGCATGTCCGAAACCAAAGTTTAGCACAGTTCTTTACAACAAAGAACAGCAACCATTTTGGGGTATTTAGTGTTAACATGTCATGATATAGACATGAAGTAGCTCTGATATATGTCGAATGAGTCTGGCACCACCTGAGAGGTTTCGGGATGAATGTTTTTTCCCTGGGTTCCTGGACACCATTGTTTTTTTGAACATAGTTCCAACATGTTTCAACTACGGAAGATGTTGTTCAGATTCTCAAATTCATTCCGATTATTGTTCGGATTTATTTGTTTTTCAGTGTTAAAACAGTCAATGGTCCTTATCTGTATCCTTCAGTTGATGGTGTTAGCATATTTCAATGATATCTTACACACTAGGCCTGCGGATTGATGGACAGCTCGTTGGACCAATGTGCTATGACCTCCGCCGTCACGGAGTCACATGGCGGTCAAGTGACACTGGTGTTCCACGGTCCCGAAAGAGCTAGTAGAGTAATTAGTTATTGATGTTCATCCCAAAAACATGATAAAAACATGTCTGGTTGGTGGTTTCAACCCCTCTGAAAAATATGAAAGTCAGTTGGGATGATTATTCCAAATATATGGAACGTCATCAAATTCCATGGTTCCAAACCACCAATCCGATGTGGTATTTTTCAGGTTTTCAATGGAAAAATGATCTATCCCCACATGTGCTTCAAGCAGCACGATCCTCCAATGGACGATCCCAATTCTGCACCGAAAAAAACCTGGAAGGGACGAAGCATGGGTACCGTACTTAGAACTTACTACCCCAAATATCCCAAAATTCAAAATTTTGCATTTGCACATGTATTTATAAATGTATATATATATATATATGTGTGTGTGTTTATGTATGTATGTATGTATGTATGTATGCATGCATGCATGCATGCATGCATGCGTGTATGTATGTATGTATGTCTGTGTGTGTGTGTATGTATGTATGTATGTATGTATGTATGTATGTATGTATGTATGTATGTATGTATGATATATATATATATATCTCTCTCTCTCTCCCCACGGGAGTTTAGCCGGGAGTCTAGCCAAAGGCTAAAGGCAAACCTTAAGCCCGAGGTATCTTTACACATACACATACGCGATTGTATCAATAAACAAGCATTCACCATTTTAAACGGTAATTAACATTTTTGTGTGTGGTTTTCACAATGTCATAAGCCATCATAAACCATCCCCCAGTCATCACCATAATATATGGAGGTTTCCTGAAATAGGAGTACCCCAAATCATCCATTTTAACAGGATTTTCATGGGTTTTCCATTATAAACCATCCATTTTGGGGATCCCCCATTTTAGGAACCCCCAATATAGGTGGTATAAACGTTACCATTCCCAGTCGACTGGGTGGTTTATGGCCAGGCTGCGAGGTCACAGAGCAGGAAGAGGTAGATCATGACCATTAGAAGAACCATGGCCTGAGATCCGCTCAGCCAAGGGCCAACGGCATCTGTATTTGAAAATGTATCAATTTATATTTAATTTAATGACAATCTAACCTGAAACAACAAATCTAAGCCAGCCTGGTCCAACCTAATCTGACCTAGTCTATAAATTTCCCAATCGATCTATCTGTCGGGGATATCCCAAGAGAAAAATGATATCAGAATCTAAGCCAGCTCCCTTGAGTTTCATTGATTGTTTTGGAATTTTTGGATGGCAAGAAAATGTGATCCCATCTGAATTGAAGTAGAATCATGGGTTTTGTTATCCCCGGAGATGAGTTGCACCCCTTAAACAATGGGAAACTGTTCATCAACGCCACCTGGTCAATTCTATGGACCAATTTCTTGCGAGGAAAAACCATGAAAAAAACACAAGTGGGTAGCATGCCGTGATATATGGTGATAAATATACATATATATATATAATAAAATATGGATATATTTAAATTGAATGAATATATATATATATTATATTTAAATTATATGAATTGCAATGATGGATCTCAATCTTCAGCAGCCATTCCGGGAACCCATGTTCCCACGGAGTTGATAAGAGGCGCGTCGAGGGGCGTCTCCAGTGATGAAACATTTGGAAAGAAATGGTTTGGTAAAATCACCAAAGACTGTCTAGACTCATTTTTTGATGATTTTGATGATCTGGAAAATGCTTTGGTTGTCAAACTCTCAACGTTTTTTTTTTTGAGGCGATTTCTCTCTCTCTCCATCGCCATCTGTCAAGACTGTCAGCGGCAGTGGCATGTAGGCAACCCATTCGGTAGCCATCTGTAAAACATGGGCCCAGCGGCCCAGCGGTTGCGCACTTGTGATGCCCGGTGCTTGGCCGACCAGGTGGTGACCAGTACTGAATCACCTTCCTGGAAAATTCAAACGCAACAATATTGATATGGGGCATACCCTCCGGTAGTTTAACATAGCTATTGAAAATGGCCATTTATAGTGGATTTACCCATTGAAAATGGTGATTTTCCATACTTATGTTAGTTTACCAGAGGGAATTTATAAAAATGTCCCCTATAACAATAAAAAATGCCCCCAGCCAACATCCCATCTGTGAGTTGTCGGGTTCGCTCCGACTGGTCTCATCCCAGAGAGAGGAGTGGGATGCCATGGCCACCAGTCACTGGGAGATCGGCCCCAGTCATTGCACCTAGCCACTCTGGCATCGTTCTACCATGTTCTACTCATATTGGATCACATTGATTTATGTATAGTTAGTAATCCCTTTTGAAAATGGTATGACCTCCACTCTCTGTCACTATCCCAACCACATCGAACCATATCTAACCATCATGTCTGGTCAAAATCCAGATTTCTGGGGTGAAAATCCACAATGTGTTTTGTCAAATTACAATTTTTCATGCTGAAATCCACATCTCCTCATCTTTGATTTTTTTTAAACCTACATATTTTTTCATGGTGAAATCATGTGAGATCCTCATTTTTACCCGTAAAAAAAAACACATGCCAAATCCACGATTTTTGACAGGTCATGTGCCCCACCTGACGTCTTCCCATCCAAAAGCAGCGCTACGGAGGCATAAACATCGCTGGCGTGGACGATAGCACCACTGGGGTGAACCAAGGGCGAGGCCAAGGTCGATTCCACGTCTGGATGTTGCTGCAAGTATCCGTCCAACGACTCGCTCGGCCTAGAAATATGGAGATCAATCATTTCAAGTCATGTGTTTAATAAAAAATGCAAAATATATGATGTATTGAAATCAAATATAATACAAAATAGCACACGGTATCCAAAAATAGAACGTAATTTAAAAAGAACAAAAAACTATGCTATGAGTAACACATAGTACGGTATATTTGGCAAAGAATAATATAATACAATCTACCAAAGATAGTATGATACAATATGTATATGTATAATATAGTAATCTAGTATATATGTATATTACATTAAAAAACTATGATACAATGAACAAATTAAATAGATTCAATATAATTATATAATAGAAAATATGTGATAAACAAAATACAAAAGTAAAATAATATTAAAGAAAAACATAAAAGACATATATTATCTAATTTATTTCTTCCGGATTCGGGCACGAATCACCTTCACTGCGTAAAAAACAGGACTCCGCCTCTAAAGTTCAATGGTTCCAACAAACGTCGAACATGAGCGAAGAAGATTGTAATCAATTTCGATCAAAATCTTGTAAACGTTGCCAGCACGCCATACCCTGCATGGTTCCTTTATTTGGTCAACGCAGACTCCATGGCCCATGTCCCAGCTGCTGCTAGCGCGGATCCACCGCCAGAGCTTCGTGAAAACTAAAAACAAAGACATAAAGAAATATACAAACTAAACTTTGGGATAGTAAAAAAAAACTATAATTGTAGAATATTGTAATTATATATATATATATATATTAAAAATTGCAAATATCGTAGAATATTAAAAAAACACCAATAATAACATATAATAAAAAATGAAACAAAATAACAATATACAGTTAAAAAAGAAAAACTATAATAAACAAATACAACAGTATGATACAATAAAAATACATAATATTATAGCACAAGAAACATATAATAATGGAAAAATATAATATAATACATATGATAAAAACATAGTAAAATAAAAATCACAAATATATATTATACTGTATTAAAAAAACAAAAACATAATTAAAATATAGCACGGTACAAGTAAATAATAAACATAAAATATTGAACTACCATATATCATAAAATAGAAATAACAATATGTAAGCGAATGAACAAACAAATAATATATATGGACTATAGTATATGATATATCATACATATATATAGTAACATATTAGTATTAGTAAAATGAAATATAATAAAATACAATGCAATATAGCATATTTTTTTAATATAAGAGAAGGTAATATACTTCATCAAGCTAAAATACTATAATAACATTAAATCATAAAAACATGTAGTATGAAATAATATGATATACTGTAAAATAATATAATATGATATTATACAAGATATATATATAGCTCTCTCCATCGCCTTCTGGCAGAGTTCAGCTAAGCTAAATTTTACTAAAGGCTGATGTTATATTATATATTATGTGTAATATCATGTCGTTGCATATGTGAGGACAATTTCATCGGAATCTTCAGGAGAAAATATGGACGTTGAAGCAACAGAAAAGCGGCCAAAAAAACCGGCCCAGAAAACGTTGAAGGGAAACCATGAGGCGTATATATATATATATATAAAATATAATGGGACATGGTTGAAATATATAGGAATAGGAATAATAACTACCATATTTAATATATCGGGGGGTATTCCTATATTGTTGAAAATACAACCCCATGAATATTTATTCATATAGGAATACGCCCTGATGGTGTCACCGCATCTCACAGCCGGTTGGGATCATCTTTCCAGGATGGAATGCGCCCAACAACAATCAATGCGGTTTAGCATGGTGAACGGTTAATCAATAGTAACCAATCAACAATCCCCAACAGTGATTACCATAAATATATACAAATTGGATCAAATTGGTGGGTTTAGGGCTTTGGCCTGCGTTCAAAAGAAAGAAAAAAAACACAAAACATGGCCGAAACATGCTGAAACGAAGGCCCTGGCACCGGCAAAAGCCCGGGCTCACCGAGTTGACCCTGACCCCAGATGCAGCCGCTTCCGCCGCGGCGGAGTTTTGCAGTGCCAGCAGGGCATGTTTGGAGGCACAGTAGGCAGCTTGTAGGGGCATGATGAGCTTGGCAAACATGGACAAGTTATTGACCTCATTGGGACTGGATCTTCTTGGATCATTTTGGCACTTTGATATGGTGAATATGATGAAATATGATGAATTCTATATTATATTGCGCAATCACCCCAGGAAAAATGAGGCGCTTGAAATTGCTTGAAATGTGATGCATATTAAAACACGTGTGGGTTCCTCCGTCTTTGATGTTGATCCGTTCCCACGCGGAAGAAACACCAACGTGCCAAAAGGTTGCTGGACCAACCTGAGCCGCAATGGATCCAAATTTCTGTTGGGTCATGATCTCCAGCTCTGCCTTCATACAGTGGTAGGTCCCATAGAAATTCAGCTCAAAGATTCCTCGGCAAAGAGATCCAAACAGTCCGCAGGGGGGTTCCTGCAAAGAATCCAAAACCAAGGAACATCTTCCAAACCCTCTCTAGTCCCAACCAAAAACGACAAACACCCTAATCAAATTGTGTTCGAAAATCATCATTCATGTAAGAAATTGCAAGATGTTGCAGGTATTGTCTTCGTCGTAAAAGGTGTAAAATATTGTAAGGGGCATATTTGAAGAAAACCTGCGGAAGCAAGGCCCTGAACACATATAATATAAAAATAAAGGGTTCTAGTATCACAAAGGCATGTTCCGAAGTCTGGAGAATAATGTGGTAAACCCAACCAACAAATATAGAATGGAGAAACCGCGGTTGCTATGCATTAATTACATGGCAAACAAAAATACAACAAAAACAAATGCACAATCTACACACACACATACACACACACATATATATATATATAACATTTAATAACAACCCCTAAAGGAAATTTAGATAAGGTTGCTTAGTGTTTCATATATAATTGACCACATCCAGCTAGAATCATGATCCACCCAGTCCGAGACTCGCTTGAACTCAGCTGTCTCCAACTCTAACAGTGTGCCACTCTGACCTGCACCCCCAGCCTTAGTGCTGCACTGCCACTGGGGTTAATAGCAGCTGAGGGTTGCCTGCTGTTCCCAACTTCAAAACATGGCCACATCATGCCACATCACCAGGTGAAAAACAAATCGTCAATCAGAATTACTGATAAAAGTTTTCGTACAAGAAGAGACACACAGAATTATCATGAATTACCCGGTCTCAAAGACCCTTCAGCATGTCTCTCTATCTGTTTCTCCCATTGTGCGATTCTTGGCTAAAGCAACGTTGTTGAAGGCTCCGTCTAAACGTCCGTGTGTGGCAACAATTTCCTGTAGAACTCGCCTTCCGGGCACGTCTTGGGTCATTGACAGTGACATCAGTGATGTTGTTTATGCATTTGGAGGTTTCCGTAAATGGAGGTACCCCAAAATGGATGGTTTATAATGGACAATCCAAATCGAAGGAAGTTTAGAAGTCAAACTTCCGACAATATGGACAGATGAAAACCAGAGATGGGAAGAGTCAGAGAGAAGAGAAGAGTAGAAGAGCAGAAGAGCAGAAGAGAGAAGATCAGAGAAGAAGATGCAGGTGCGCGAAAAGGTAGGAAAGTCGCGAAACAGTGCGTTTTTCCAATGATTTGTGGCTCCGGAGGGTCGACAAGTAGGCTCGCTAAAGCGGCGGGTGCGGAGCCATCTGGCCAGATGAGAGATGAAAAATTGCACGCCGTTGTGGCGCGAAGCACATTTCCAAGTCAAAATGTACAAAACACCTGGTGCTCGGAGCACTTTTGGAAGTTGAGATGTCGAAAAAGTGCACGCCGTTGTGGCGCAAAGCACATTTCCAAGTCAAAATGTTAAAGACACACCAGGTCCGGACCACTTTTGGCAGTTGAGATGTCGAAAAAGTGCACGCCGTTGTGGCGCGAAGCACATTTCGAAGTCAAAATGTACAAAATACACCAGGTGCGGACCACTTTTAGCAGTTGAGATGTCGAAAAAGTGCACGCGGTTGTGGCGCGAAGCACATTTCCAAGTCAAAATGTTAAAAACACCCGGGGTTCGGACGACTTTTGAAGGTTCAGATGTCGAAAAAGTGCACGCGGTTGTGGCACGAGCACATTTCCAAGTCAAAATGTTAAAAACACCCGGGGTTCGGAGGTTCAGATGTCGTTTCCCGTGGCAGGCGCAAAGGATTGTGCACCTTGTCAAAAGTGAGCCAAACGTGACGGTTTTGTAGCATTTTCAACTACAACTACACCACACTACACACCAATACACTTCACTACAACTACAAATTCACTACATTCCACTACACTGCGCTACACCACACTCCACTACATTCCACTACACTACACTAAACTACACTTAACACTCAATTACACTCAATTACGCTACACTACACTATACTACACTACCCCACACTGCACTACACTCCACTGCACTACACTACATTACAATACACTACACTTCACTACACTACACTACAACTACACTACACTACATTCCACTACTACACTACACTCCACTACACTACACTCAATTACACTACACTACACTACATTACATTCCACTACGCTACACGGCACTACACTACACTAACTACAACAACAACAACTATAACTACAACAATACTACATTCACACTACGCTACACTACACTACACTAATTGCACTACACTACACTAACTACAACTACACTACACTGAATGACGCTGCACTAACCTACAACTGCAACTGCAACTGCAACTGCAACTACACTACATTACACTACACTAATGACAGCACACTACAATACACTACATTACACTGCATCACACTAACTACGACTACATAAGACTACGCTACTCTACACTACACTAATTGCATTACACTACACTGCACTACATTACACCCCACTCCACTCCATTACACCACACTACACCTCACTACATTACACTCCACCACACTACAGTACACTACACTCAATTACACTACACTACACTACACCATGCGACACTACACTACACTACACCATGCGACACTACACTACACTAAATACAACTACAACTACAACTACAGCTACAACAACAACTACAACTATCACTACAACTACAACTACAACTACAATTCAAAACACTACACTACAACTACACTAATTGCATTACACTACGCCACACCACACTACACTCAATTACATTACACTACGCTACCCTACCCCACATTGCATTACATTACATTACATTACATTATGTTACATTACATTACATTACATTACATTACAACGCACCCATTACACCACCACAACTGCAACTGCAACTACACTACAGTAATTACACTAGACCACAACTATAACTCCACTACACTACAACTATAACTACAGCTGCACTACACCACACTACATCCAGCAGTTGTGGGTGAGGTGACGGACCAGGTGACCACTGCAACCGTTGCAGCCACTCCAAAAAACACAGCTCCAACCACCTTTCGGTCCATCAGTGGATTCGCTCTGCCATCCGTGATTCACAACAGCCAACCTCTCCTATAAAACCTCTCCTATAGGTTTCCTATTTTTGAAACTTCCGCCACCGCCTTGTGCGGCACTACTGGTATTAATGGATGATTTCCCGGTACCCGAATCTTGGGTTCTTCTCAGTGAATTGCAACATATGGCTTAGAGTGCCACTGAAGCATTAAGAAGCTGGAGCTATTTAGCATTCTAATCCCATTCTTCTTGGGCACCAAGCAATCTTAGGCAAATCAATCCCAATTTTTCCGCAAAGGATTCAAGTATACCAACTATATACTACCCTTTCACCAGTGTTTTCCTTTAGCATTCATCATCATTTGGATCCTTAGCTACCCATGGCTACTCGGGAATATGGATACTTCATGATACTTCACCAAAGCTCCAAGCGGCCTCACGGACTCAAAATCCAGCACATCAAGCGCGACAGTGCTGGCCAAACCATGTCCTGCTTCGATGGTGTGCTGAATCGCTTGCAGCTTCTCTAAACGGCGCGCGGCTAAGATCACATGGGCCCCGTCAAGGGCCAGTTCCTACACAGGGAAACTGCAGAAACGCCTGGGTCCCCCATTTTGGGGACGCTGGTGGCCCAGTCTCTACAAAGCCTGGAAAAAAGGTGCATGCTAGAAAATTGAGAATCATAGGGTGGCTCATAGGTGCAGATGGCCCGAATCAAAGCTGGGAAGACCGTTTGGAACACCAGCTGTCTCGAATGTGTTGGACCTCTTAAAGAGGGACACTTTCAGGATCTTTCAGGCACCTAATCTATTCGGAATATGAGGTGCATGCACTGCATATGTGAGCAAATATGGTCAGCACTTGCTGGCTATCCAGGATCGAATCTATTTCAATTCAAGTACTTAAGCTCCTGGAGGGGGAAAATGCTATTTATTTTGCGCATGATCAAGGATCCCAACCCCTTTTTCAAAAAAACAAAACCATGGCTTTGCCTGAAAATAGTGCATCCCTAATTCCAATGGATGTTTCTATAGATAAAAATTGTCATTTAGAGGGCATACCCAAAATTAAGACATGCTGTGATCTACCCCGCATGCCTTGGCTACGAACTCACCAATGCCCGAGCTCGCACCCGTCACCAAAATCACTTTTCCAGCAAACCTCTTGGATGATGACATCGGTGCTGCGCTAAGCGCGTGCTGTTACCAGCACTTGTGAAAGGATCGAGATTTAAAATTGTACGTGGATCATCGTGAATCCATTCCAACTCTTTCCATACACTCTCAACTGTCAACCCATACCACCCACTACCAGAGGAACCGTATTCTCCCTCCAGAGCTACTCGTAGAGACCAAAAAGTAGACTTTGTCTTTCATTCCCACCTGACCCTTGAGCCGTACACACTGCGGTCTGGGGATCCTGCCGCCAAACGCCATTGGAAAATTTTATCTCTACAGGACTCTAGGTTCTAGACTCTCGACACTCTCGACCTTCTACCTGGAATGCAATAGGGGCTTATTATACAGCATTCCATGTCAATTCCATGTCAATTTCCATTACCACATAAAACATTGGTTGTGTTTCATGACTCGAGCCGAGTCATCCCAATATATCCCAATATGGGGAGGGTCCAACCAAGGCCGCGTCCGTCACCAAGTCACAGTGAAGAGATGTCGATAGCGACCAATGCGGATGTAGTCTTTCACCAGGGCGATCTGATGGATTTCATGTGTCATGGCGAAACTGTGCTATGCAAAATAGCCAAATATAGACACTGAATAGGTAAACCTCAACGAGTAGCCAAAAATACAACACAATCAAACCCAAGTTTGCCCCTGGATTGTGTTTTTTTTTTTTCTGTGACTGGTTGATGCTGCTAGGATTGGGCTTAACCGAGGGCTGCACCGATGGACGGCCCTCGAACTCGTCTTCGCGCAGAGACTCGGCGGACCTGGGCAGGACAGGTCTCTGACAGAGTACGAATTTCACGAACAAATAAAGTTTAAGTTCAAAGTATACAGTAACAAAATATAACATGATATAACTGTCCTTTCAAGAAAAACGCGCGTGAAAATCGTTCAAGGAACAAAACATGTAGTTTTAAAACATTCATACATATATTCCTTTTTGGCCATAAGCGAAGGCAAATGGACAATGGTTGAAAATGCGAAACATTAAAAAAAATGAGAGAATTGGACCCCCATTTTTAAAGTTCTGTGTTCGTCCGGAAAAAAAAACACGGACATTATTCAACTTTTGTTGTTGTTCTGAGTAGGCCTAGGCTGCAGAAAAACAGCCTAAGAAGAGCAACCACGCTAAGCAAGGATGAACCATTCTCTGGTTGGTTTCCATTGGTTCTAGTGCAGGGGCACAATTTTCAACGGCACTGCGCCACTTTTTGGGTGTAAAGCTCCGACGCGAATCCACATGAATCAAGCATCTTTTCCTCCTCCTGCCAGGTGAGAGTCTCTAGATTTAAAAAGGTACAACTCCTCGTTCTCTTCTTCCTTCCTCTTCTTCCTCTGCTCGTGCTCCTTCTTCGTCCTCGTCCACCTTCTCCGTCGAGCCATGATCGCCAGCTCCGGATGCTGTGGGCCACGCCTGGACCTGAACACATGCCAAAGAGAATGCCAGACACAATGCCAGAAAGAATCTCAGATAGAATGCCAGAAAAAATGCCAGATGGAATGTCAGAACATATGACAGGTAGAGTGTCAGCATAGATGCCAAATAGAATGCCAGGTAAAATGTTAGAACGTATGTCAGATAGAATGTCAGAAAAGATGCCAGATAGAATGTCAAAATGTGGGTCAGATAGAATGCTAAAAAGGATGCCAAATAGAATAAATGTCAGAACATGTGCCAGATAGAAATCCAGAAAGAATGTGGGGGGTTGTAAAAACCCCGAGACCTTTCAAATGGTTTTTCCAGACGTTATGGTGTTTTTTCCTCTTATCGTTTTTCCAAGCGCTGGCTTCACACCTTGATCAAAGAATTCACATGAGCGAGGAGAGGGAAAAGAAAAAGGTTCAGTAAAGGAAGGGAAAGGAAAGAATAGGAAAGCAAAAGGAAAGGGAAAGGAAAAGGAAAGGGGAAAAAAAGAAAGCAAAAGGAAAAGGAAAGGAAAACGAAAGAACGCAAAAGGAAACGAAAAAGGAAAGGAAAAAGGACAGGAAAAAGGAAAGGAGAAGGAAAAGGAAGAGTAAAGGAAGAGACAGGAAAAAGGAAAGGAAAGGAAGAGGAAAGGGAGAGGAAAGGGAAAGGAGAGGGAAAGGGAAGGGAGAGGAAAGGGAGAGGAAAAGGAAAAAAAAGGCAGTGTCTCACACGGCCCTTTTTTGATGCCAAAAGTCATCGTTTTCGTTATCGTTTTGTTATCGTTCGTGAATCCTGTATGTGTGTGTATGTGTTCCTTTTTTTTTGCAATCATCAAAAAAGGAATCTAGCGACCACCTACGACAACAAACAATGACAGGAAGAGACCAAAAGCACTAAATAGCAGCAGAATGATGGAAAAACCAAGAACTTTGGATTTCAAGAGTCTGGACACAGATTATTGATATAACCAACGTTATCGTTTTTTCCTCTTATCGTTTTTTCGAGTAAAATCTAAAAATTGCTCATGGGGGATCATGGAAGACTAAATGAATATATAGGCGCGGGGTTTTTACAAACTCCCATGTCAGAACATATGTCAGATAGAATGCCAGAAAGAATGTCAGATTATATGTCAGATAGACTGCCAGATGGAATGTCAGAATATATGTCAGATAGACTGCCAGAAAGAATTTCAGAATATATGTCAAATAGACTGCCGGAAAGAATGCCAGAATGGATGCCAGGTAGACTGTCAGAAAGAATGTCAGAATATATCGGATAGACTGCCAGAAAGAATGTCAGAATGGATGCCAAATAGAACGTCGAAATAACATGTCAAGGTGGAGATCACTCGAAGTAAAGTAATTCTCCCCATCCAGGGCCATGCTTGACATTCTGAATACCCTCTGGTAGTCAAGCATGGCAATGGAAAATCCCCCCGATTTGCCAAGATATATGGGTAACCTTTATATATATATATATCTAATGATATAGCTAGGAACCTATGGAAAATGTGCTGTGTATATAACCATCTAAAGATAATGTATAATCATATATATGTATAATAAACATATCTAATCTAATCTAATCGAATCTAACCTAACCTATCCCATCCCATCCCATCCCATCCCATCTATCTATCTATCTATCTATCTTTCTTATCTATCTATCTTATGATGTGATATTGTGAATGAAACCAATCTAATTCATTTGTAGACAATCTATATCTATACTTTATTATCTCATATTATCATATATTATCTCTCCCTCTCTCTCCCTATGTAAATGTATATTATCTATAGTTATAGTATGTTATAGTTACAGTGTGTAACAATAGGAAAACTGGAAAACTGTAGCTCTGCCACCAAGCATCTGTGGCTCCTTTCGCCAGTTGGCCGCTGGAGTCTTGGCGAATCTTGGTGGCACAAAGGAGTTCGCCAAGACTCCGAACGGTTGGGAGGGGAAAAACTGCGGAAACCAATGGGTTTTGTCCATGGTTTTTACAAGTTTCTACCATCAAATCTTGGGGGTTCCTGTTCGGTTTTTGGAATTGTTGTTCCTGTTCGATCAATTCTATGATAAATGCTCTGCTCTCTCTCCTCTCTCTCAGACTCTCTCCTCGCTCTCTCTTTTTTGTCGCGCACATTCTGAGAGCGGCAGGATTGAGGATTACATACCGGTACAATTGCGATTCAGCCATGTGTAACTGTGAAAAAACTTGCTGACCCGCAGCACTGGATTACCTCGCGCGGCTACACCTTCGCTGAAGGTACGCCCGGAGTCATCCCTGGTGATCAAAAGCCAAAGTGACTGGGTGTCCTCCGCATCGGCAAAGCTTTCGCCCTCTTTGCTGCTCAACAACTTCTGGTAAGCCTGACGGGGGGACACAAAGCATTGCATGGGATTTGTATAGAATGGATATTCTTTTGATATCTTTTGATAATGTTTATTTTTTATAGATATGTTTGATATATTTTCGTATCGGGCGTAGATGCATCTGAGTAAACCATGTCATTCCCAACAGAATCGGAACCAGTTTTGTTCGCGGTCAATCAACCTCCCCTTGAGATCCCTTGGGTCGGAGATTGAAATGCTTTAAGCTAGCTGCTGGGTTAGCCAACCTCAAAGTGAAAAAAAACAACATGTTCAGATTTGATGTTACCGGGGGTTGTCTGACCACCCAGCCAATCATCTTTTCCCGATACGAAAATACCATTGTTTAAGGTTTACCCATGCTCAAACACACATACATACATACATACATACAT